ATACTTCTGAACACTATGCAACAGTTTTCCTAACATTTGAATAAAAGTTAGAATTCATGGATCTGTTCCAGGAGAATTTGTAGGGATTATTGGCATAGTTTAGTAGTTTAATAATTATCTACAGTTAATTTTATGAAGATAACAGGTTACATTCAAGGGACAATGGCATTAGTGTACTGTCTAAAAACATGGTAGACCGTGAATGTTATAGTCTTTAAATATTGTTATAGATCGCTCGCTGTAAGCAGCTCATCTGTGATCCCAGCTATGTGAAAGATCGGGTAGAAAAAGTGGGCCAGGTGATCAGAGTTATCTGCATCCTCAGCCACCCCATCAAGAACACCAGTGATGCCAACTCTTGCCAGATCATTATTCCACAGAACCAAGTCAATCGGAAGTCAGGTGAGTTTTCAAGATCAGCCAATGTTTGTAGAATTTTGTTTGACATAACTTGCTTTATGTTTCATCCCAAATTCCTAATTTTATCTGCTCTTATAATTATAGTGAAGAAACTTTAGTTTACACTGGCAAACAAAATGTGATGGGCCCTTTTTAGCTCAGAGATCCTAAATCATTATGTAGAAATGAACAAAGTAGCCTAGGAGCCCTGCCTCAGACTTGTAGCCACTGCTTTGGACTTCCATTTCCTCATCTGGAGAATTAAGAGGCTGGACTAGGTGAGTGGTTACAGCCTCTCCCGGTTCAAACATTATGTGCCTGTGGAGGTTTATGCTTCTTAGTTGACCTGACTTCACTGTGTTTTTGAGCTGATGACAGTACTGCTTTTATGTCATTATTTGTCAACTTAATACTTACATTTGATTTTAGCAGTGTGCTGGTAAACAACTTTCGTTTCTCTGATTAAGATCAGGACTTAGCTCTAAAATTGTAAATCCTAATTTTTTGCTTTAACCAGTTGTATTCATCCACTAGCTTTTCCCATTTTTTAGTTAGAAGCCCTAAATCTTTTATCAAAAATTCAATTTAAAAGGGGTTGTCAACTATTAAATGGAGAGTTAAGAGCTATCTGTATTTAATTTTTTTTCCATATAAGAACTCAGATCATAGAAGATTACTACTAGAACAAAAAGACTTGGACTAAAGTAATCTTTCAAGGGTTCCCAAGCAGATCCATGTCTTTGCAAGTCTAAGAAGAGTAAAAGGAGGGGCTGGCCCAATGGTGTGGTGGTTAAGTTCGTGCATTTCACTTTGGCAGCAGCAGCCCAGGGTTCGTGGGTTCAGATCCCAGGTGGACCTATGCACCACTCATCAAGCCATGCTGTGGCGGCCTCCCATATACAAAATAGAGCAAGATGGGCATGGATGTTTGCCCAGGGCCAATCTTCCTCAGCAGAAAGAGGATTGCATCGGATGTTAGCTCAGGGCTAATCTTCCTCACAAAAAAAAAAAAAAAAAGAAAGAAAGAATAGCTTATGTTGATTTGCAATTTTATGTCACTTAAATGAGAAATCAGTACTTAATAAATCCTTTCCTAGCTAGTTAAAACCTTTCTAAAGGCAGGCCTCAGAGAGGAAGACAACCCCAGAGCAGTTAATATGGTTTGCCAGGTTTCCAGTTAGCTGTGAAGAGAACTAGGAGGAGAACTCTCATTTCCAAGTCCAGCAATTCACTGCCACATAAAAACTTCATCTCCAATAAGCTAAAAGTTGCTAAATATTTGCATATTTTATGTGTGACCCTGTGCCTCCATACAGAACTTAAGCTTAGAAGGTATTGTCTATTCTAAGTAATTTTAATTCACATCTCGATGAAATATGGGTGAAACCTGAGTGTGCACACGTGCCTGCGGTTTATAAACTTTGGCAGTGAGGTAGCATTACTTGTTTCCAGATATCTACGTCTGCATGATCTCCTCCGCACACAATGTGGCAGCCCAGGGGAAGTACATTGCCATAGTCAGTACAACTGTGGAGACCAAGGAACCCGAGAAAGAAATCAGACCAGCTTTGGAGCTCTTGGAACCAATTGAACAGAAGTAAGTGATGTGCTCATTTCTATCAGCTAAAGTCCATTATTGATTTTGGCTCTGCAGTGGGGTGAACCCCATAAGAACAGCCATTGGCTGCTGTGTGGGTATCATCTCTACCAGTCTCGTCTTTTGGGTTTTGAATTTCAGGCGGAGTGAGTGGGTGTGTGGTCAGCTCACCTGCTAACTTAATTCTTTTTCCCCTCCAGATTCGTTAGCATCAGTGACCTCCTTGTACCAACAGATTTGGGAACAGAAAGCCAGGTGAGTGTGGCCATCCGAAAAGGGTATCATCAGGCTTTACTGGGAGACATCCCTCAATAGTCTCAAGTCTTTGTAATTTTTATTTCCAGATCTTTATTTCCCGCGCATATGATGCTACAACTCACTTTGAGACAACCTGTGATGACATTAAAGACATCTATAAGAGGATGATAGGATCCGAGTTTGACTTTGAGGAAATGAAGCGCAAGAAAAATGACATCTATGGGGAAGACTAACAGCAGTGTATGTTGTCATCTAATGAGGACAAACTTAAAACATGTGGCAAATGCATACTGTATGAAATCAACATTGTAAGGCCTGCTTTTGTAATCAAAACAGAGATTGCAGAGCACTGTACCAGTAAATATTCCTCCCCTTTCTAATATCATGTATTAACTTGTTTTCACGGAGTGGCTATTCAGAATTGGCAGGTTACCACATTCTGTTCAATTTAACCATTACAGGCTTTTTTCTTCTAGTGAAGGATCAGTTTTAAAAAAACATGGTGATACTGATACAGAGAACTTGATACAGTATTGTATCTTTTAATCAGTGTAGTCTTTGCAGTTATGTGCTTCTGCTCAAGAGCTGGATCAGTACAATTTGCGTGCCATCTGTCCTCTTAACGTTAAGGAGATTCGAAATCGAATGTTCTATAATTTGGGACAGCATCCCTAAGTTTTCCCTGTACCTTTCCATTTTGTGTCCTGCCAAGTACTAGGACAGTGCCCATGTAGCACAGCTACAAGTTTGGTTTATGTGGGCGTAAAATTCTAACCGAACTTCAGAGCCATTTTGGAGGAAGCCTGTGTGCAGTGTTTTAACCTAATAAAATTGATGAGAGCAAAGGGGAAAGAAACCTATCAGAAAGCAGGTAAATGTAGAAGCTTCTTTTGTATCCCAGGTGTGGCTTCTTCAACGGACCAAGCTGCAATGCAGTATTGATTTGAGAGAGCCTGTACTTCAATGTCTGTCTCACAGTGGCTCCAGATGATGTCTGTACTGCAAAATAAAGCCAAACTCTGGAAATAGTTCCCTCTCGATTGGTCTGTTTGTGTGCTGATGTTTAAGAGCTAGTAAGTCTTGTACTGGCCATGACACAGCTGCTCACCTTCTTCAGTAGAGCTGAAACCAATGCTAGGAGAGAGATGCCGGAGTAGAAGGGTGCACTCAGTCACTGATGGCACGTCAAGGTTCAAATTTGGATGGCTAAAGAGAGTCTGTTATGTGGCTTCACTGTGAGGAAACCCCAGAGTATATTCCTGACACAATATAATTATTACGCTTTTATATATTCTTAGTAGTGGTTTAAAACAAGTATTCTTTTCCATACAAATACAAGTGACTGCCTTTGATAATTTTGCTTATAGCAGGAATTATAAGACATTAAGTGAATGCTGTCAGGTGGAATACGTGCTTTATTATTTTCAAGTAATTTCAGTTGCAGTTAGAAATTGTTTTTACTGGTACCTCCTTGCCCCTTGATAGTTTTAAGCCTCACTGTATTCTCCTTAAGGCTGAATATTGATTCTTTCTTATAGTTACGTTTGAAGGACACAGACTAAGGCAGATGATCTGTAAAAGAACTCAGACAACCTGAATAACAATCTAAATTGTTATTACCCTAAGTGATCACGAGCTCAGTTTCTCAATTGACACTACCCATTTTTGGCCAGATAACTCCTTGGGGTGGGGGTGGGGTGCTGTCCTGTACATTGTTCAGCAGCATCTCTGGCCTCTAGCCACTAGATGCCAAATAGTGCCTCCCTAGCGTGACAACCAAAAATGTCCCCAGACAGTATCACGATGTCTCCCAGGGCACAAAACTGCCTCAGTTGAGAACCACTGCTTTATTTCCACGATAAGATTATCTACAATTCCAGCCTTTCCCTTCCCTTCCTGTAATACTTCAAATTGTGAACTAATTATTAATGCAGGCAAAGGTGTAAGCTGGGTTACTAATTAATAAGTAAAAAGAAAAAATATCAGGATATTTTCATATTCTTTATTCAACATACTTATTGAACAACTAATACTTCTGTGCCAGGCCAATGGGGCACAAAGAAGATGCAGGCACAGTGTCTGAAAGAGCTCACAGGCTAGAGGAGACCCATTATTCTGCGGCTTGGTTAAGTGTTAAAACAGTTATAGAAAAAGGGATGGAAACAATGGCCTTGTGGGTGCTGGAAGGCTTCTTGGCAAGGGGAGATGAACATTTGAGGTACAATTTGAAAAAAATGAAAGTGTGTCAGGCAGACAGTACCTGGCAGGTAGTAGCTGCTCAATAAATGTTAGTTTCCTTTTCCTGAGTAATTTCAAATTAATTAAGTGTACTGAATATAGTTATGATCCTCTTACTAGACTCTTATCCCTGGGGCAAAAATAAAATGATGGGGTTTCTAAGCAAGACCTAGTGTCAAATAACTAAAACTCTGTTAGTCCTCTTCCTCCTGAGAAAACAGTGAAATTGGCACTTTGGTTTAGGTGAAAGGTGTAGAAAGCAGATCAACGGCTTCTGAAAGCCCTGTAGGAGGGCCAGGTGAGAAGCCCTGGGAAGGTCCTGCTGCTCAGTGCACGGTGCTGTGGGAGGGAAAGCACAGGGCAGGCTGGGGCACTAGGCTGACGGATCGTGGCCCAAGTGATGGGAGCGGCGGGATGCCTCTGGAAGCTGGTTCTTCCTGCTCAATGGCCTAGAAACATTCCCTACACTTTTAATTGTTGCTATCAAGTCATTGCAGAAACAGTTAAATGATTTTTAGTTGTCTTTATTAAAAAAATGAAACAAATTAGTTACAAAAACCTTTGTTCCAAATAGATACTATGTATCTTATAAATGCTTTTTGCTTGGTTTTGAGTTTCAAAGATTACTGTAGAAATTATTCCTAATATCATAAATAAATGATTATTTCTTCCTCAGAGGGTTGATTTGTAGTGCACTCACTATTTACAAAAACTAAGTGAAAAACGAGTTTATAAATTTGTACCACTTAGGAAAAAAATGTTTATGTAGTGTTGCTTGAATAACAGCAGATAAGTTTATAGTTTTTACAAGGGTGGTAAAACCTTTAAAGCCGACTATAATGTGCATTTGGTATGCTTTCCTGACAATAACATGCAAAAACAAAGCTATTGGTTAAAATAGACTTCTTTTGCTACTACAATTGAGTAAACATTAAGTTCAATTAATAGCTTTGAAGACATTCTGTTTAAAATGAAAATAATTTAAAACAATATTTAACACTGCAACCCAAAGCTAACGGACTACTGTGCTACTGTGAACAAAATCAGACATTTTACCAAAGTTTATAAAAAATGAAGGAAAACTTTCTCCCAAGTTGTAGAACATTGATTTTCCAAATATGAGAAGACTGTTCCGTGTACCTCAAAGTTTTTCAAAGAAAAGAGAAAATACTAATTTGTTGTTGGCATCATTGATATCTAGCCAGGCTGCAGCTGAATCACCTGGGTAAACACAGAATTGACAGTAGTCCTGTCTTTAAAACAAAATAACCAAGAAATATTTTATAAATAGGATGCTGTCTAATGGGGAAAATGTCTACGCATCTTAGGTTACATTATCTCCTGTCTTGGCAGTCTAGATGAACTGCAAGTGAAAGTGCATATCGTTTAGATAAAATGGGTAACTCAGAGTAGACTGGTTATTTCATTAGTGATACTTCAGAAGTTCCCATTTATGCCAAACCAACAGCAATTCCACCCCTAAATAAACAAACATATTTTAAATTTACAGCTGATGTATAAGGTAAAGAACAGTTTTTGAACAACTGGTGCCCTCACAGACACACATGCCAATGTCTGCTCTAAATTCCAGCGCACTGGGAGATGAGCGTTAGAAAAGTGTTCTTACCAATAGCTACTCCTAAATGGAGCTGCTACTTTTTGTATATTTTCAATAAAGTTATTTACATCTGTAACAAGGATGCCACTATTTTCAAAGACTTCTCTGGAGACAGTAGGCTTTTCTGTAAAAAGAAATATTTTTTTGGTGAAAAATTCATTAATGTATTTTTTTTTAAAGTAGCAGAACCCCTTTTATTTAAAAAAAAAATCTTTTGTCACACTACCTAATACACGTGGGGGTGAAAAAAAAGAACTCTGGTTCAAGTGAAGAAAAAGGTTTGAAGTTTTGGGAGCAGCCGCCTCCATGGAGGGGGCCCCAATGAAATGCTGATAAATGATAACTACAGTCATTCCTTAAGTTTAAAAGCCTTGGTTAAGATTCACATGAAACACTAAAAGTCAGAGATACACGTAAAATTAAATAAATACTTGTAGGAGATGATCAAACTTAACTGAAAAAACTATTAGACAAACCCCACGATATCCCTGCCCCGGCCTCATGTGCATTTGTCAACACACATACCAGGCTCCAAGTTTATTCTTGGCCCCCAGTTGTTAGACCCAGTGAGTCCACTGGAAGGACATTTCTAGAGTTGACCGATTTTGGCATTAACTGATTAATGACAATTAGGCAGAACTAAGGCTGTGAATTTACCTGTTAGGAAAACGGCAAACCTGGCATGGATATGCTGAATTTGCAGGTTTAGGAGACATTTCAAATGTTCTGCTTTTGTTGATGACCGGGAGTCACACTGGTGATAATGAAGCAATTCAATGATATTTGCACTCTGGTATGATTTCAATATTAAGTTCTTTTTCTGTGCAATTGAATCCACTCTGGAAAATACACAGAAATGTTAAGTTTAGATGCAGTGTAAGTTTGTGAAAGTATTTTTTTACTGTACCTTACTTTTTAGTTGTTTTATACCGAGAATTTTTCTTGAGTTCACTATACTTTTACTTTTAGTTTAACCACTTTTTGTTAAAACAGGCAAACTTGTATGAGATCCTTTTTCTCAACACATTGGGCTTCCTAAACGCCACTGCCCTCTTGAGTTCCCTCAAAACATTCCAGTGTACCTACTCCTTTTGTAAATACAGATTTTTTAAAAATATGGGCTTCATTCCAAGCAAGAGGGACATCTCCACATTCATCTACTAACGCTTCCCACCGTGTCGCTTGGCAAGCCTTGCGTTAGTTTCTAGCGGACCTCTTGCTGCATTCTTCATTTATATAGCACTGCAATGGTTCCAAATCTTTTAAGTCTCTCCAGAACTTCTACACTTATGCTTTTTGGTTAGATAATCACCAACTTCATTAAAATTATGTAGCAGCTAGAATTTTCTTAATTTCTCACCTCCTTTTAAATCTTGTTACTACCTATTTTTTTTCTGCCTCACTTTTAGAGGAAAATGTTCAACTTTTAAACGTCTCTACCTCTGCTCTTGATTCCATCGCTCCAGTCTTCTCCATCACTCACATTCTCTCTCCTGCTCGCTGAAGAAAGCCAAAATCATACATATTCCCACAGCTCTAGTGACAAGCACTGTTAACATCATGATGATGAATTTCCTTCCAGGCTTTATCCTTTGTATATATAAATTTATATGATTGACATCATACTGTACATAGTTTTAAGATACCAACTTATATTCCTTATTACTATGAATAGAAACTATATGCTTGTACTTACTGTGTTAAGTTTTGTGTGGCATTATTTTGCATACATTTAAATAATTATATATCTACTTAGTCCATACGTCTTTTTTTATATGTGCCCTAGAGATGGATTTGAGGCTGGTTTTGTAGTTATTGATACCCAGCCATGGCTATAAACATCTTTGTACAAATACTGGTTTTTATTTTATTTTTTTTTATAATTTTTTATTTATTTATTTTTCCCTCAAAGCCCCAGTAGATAGTTATATGTCATAGCTGCACATCCTTCTAGTTGCTGTATGTGGGACGCAGCCTCAGCATGGCCGGAGAAGCGGTGCGTCGGTGCATGCCGGGGATCCGAACCCCGGCCGCCAGTAGCGGAGCGCGCGCACTTAACCGCTAAGCCACGGGGCCGACCCAATACTGGTTTTTAAAAGCCAAGGTTTTTTTGGTTTTAGTTTTGGATAAATGCCCCCCCAGGTCAAAGGACATGCCGAGCTTTCTGATGAGTTCTCATTCCGCCAGAATGGTTGACTTGAAGAGCATGTTCCAGTGCCAGCAGTGAGAAGTGATCACTTTCTGTTTACCCAAGTCCTACGAACGCTAAATTACTTGATACTTACGGATGTTATAGGTGTGCCGTGGCACCTCAGAGCTTTAATTTGCTTCTCTAATTATTTTGAAGCTGACTTCCTCTAAAGTGCTGGTTAACTACCTCCTCGTGACCTCATGGTCACGGCCTTTGCCCACTGTTGCTCCTTTCAGCCCTCCTCCCTCCTCCTGGACGGTGACAGCTCTTGGTTCTACTCCTACTTCTTTGCCCCTTCTTTTCCTCCTGCACTAGTTCCTCTCCTAAGTACAAGCCTTTCCTGAACTTCTGTTCTTAGCCATCTTTCCTTTTAGGATCTCACGCACTTCCCCAATTTCAGCTGTCTTCACGCCTAAGTTTGTTTTCTCTGGAGAAGGCAGTATGGTGAAACAGAATCACTGTCAGCTTAGCGATGAATGGTGTGGGGCTGACGCCCAGCTTCACAGCCTGGTCCCTGTCTGACTGCGGCAGGTCTGTCCTCTGTGCTTCCACTTCCACATCATTAAAGTGGGTTTTACTGTCTACTTCCCACAGATGAAGGAAGAGAGAATCGATGTAAAACACTTCACAGGGCCTGAAACCGTCACTTAACAGATGGCCTGTCAAATCTGTCTTTTCCCGGTCCGTCTCCAAGCTCCAGACCCCTTTCCACTCTTCTTCTCCCAGTCTCACTAGAACCTGGAGGCAGGTCTTTGATACGGAAGAGCCATCCACAGGCCCCAGGGCTCTTCAGCCAAGGAATCAATAAAAAAATACTTTTAAAAATCCCAGCTGTACATTTAAGGAGGTTTGCCTATTTATAGTCTATTGTTTAAGGGTAAAATTAAAGTTAGATTCTGGTCTCAATTTTTTCATCTTTATAACTGTGGCAACTTAATATATGAATAAATACCCCAAATAGCATTAATGTGGCAAGCCCATAGTTCAGTTTACTTTTTACAGTTCATGGTAGTAGAGCCTGAACTAAACTATATGGACGTTTTAGGACTTCTACATCTGACTTCCTTACTTCTGTTGGTCTAGAGAAGTGCTACTCAAAGTATGTGCCTCAAACTCTTAATTATGGTTACCATACACAGCTTCCTTCACTGAAAGCCCTACTACAAAAACAGAATCCCCCAGTCAGCCAGCCAGCAGACCTAAACACAGTGTTGAGTGATGTCGGTGATTTACATTCCGGCACAAACTTACCCTGCTGCAGCACTTTAAGTGACACTAGTCCCAGCACATTGAACGTTTCAGGGTGAGTCACATGGTGTCTCCACCCTGCCCCATAAAAGGGGAAGGGAAGAACCCCCACCCCTAAGGCCTGACCTTACATGAAGGTCTTACCTGACATCTTCCTTTAGCTTTTTATTTTCTCTGTAATGAAGCAACCACTTCCATCTTCCATTTCCGTTTAGTTTCTCCAGGATTTTGACAATTTCCTTCAGTTGAACTACAGAAGAGAATAAGTTTGGCAAGAGAAGATGTGTTTTAGGGTTTTTGGCTTGTCTAGTCAAAGCCTAATAATTGTTACTTGTAAGAAATAAGACCCCATGTTTGAGTGTATATCACCATTGCCACTTAATCCCATACTGCATTTCAAAGATACAGCAACCTATGGCCCCTCAACTCCCACCTACTCCTACTACAGTAGGAGAGAAGCGTATGGAGATGAGAACACTGCAGTTAACAGCAAGTAAAGCTGTGAATGTGTCTGCATCACGTGGATGCAACAAAAGGAGGCGGTCCAGTTGCAGCAGAGAAAAGAGAGGTCCAGGTTTCTAAATAACAGAATCTACAGATATTTTTCAACTCCAGTGTCCATGCAGAAGTCATGCTTGTTAAGGTCTACCCTCATATTCTCATCTAGAAGTGGTGTCCACATTTAGCTGTACTGTGCTGTGGGCTTTGACCATACATAAAAGTGTCTGCCCTGTGCTCTACATTCTTCTATGTCAGTTCAGTGCCCTGAGAGGAATAAATTACATATGAGTTGTCCAAGCAGATAATTAAGACTTTCAGTAGCCATTTTTTAGATTTTCATGATATGAACAAGATGGTAGGGGTGATGGCAACAAATAGAGAAGAGAGGGCTGATTCTAAACAAAAAAATTAATATATAGCTGACTTGATTTGGCAAGTGAATGAGTCAAATATGACAAAATCTCAAATTTGTAGGAATAGTTTAGCTGCACTACTGAGACGGAGGAACTTAGAAGCAGGTTTGGTGGTGAAGATAATTAAAATAAAAGAAGTTAAGAGCATGTGCACTGGGAATGAGAATTACATGGAACTATATGAAAAGTGCTTGGCATATAACAAAAATTAAGCCCTCAATAGGTGGCGATTGATATTGAGTTAATTTCTTTTTGATGAAATAATATTTGGGAACTGGGTGAGGAGAAACCGATTTGACTAGATTTCAAAGAAACAAGAAAGGAAAATAAAAGACCAACCTAACGTTAAAGTTTCTAATATTTTGTCATCTGATACCACAAAGCCTCCTGTCCGAAACAGCTCTTGGTAGGTGTAATCGAGAACATCTTCGGGGCTGTCCACTCCAGCGAAGACGACACCGGGAAAGTGCTTCAGCTTCAGCAAAGAAGGAATCTGTTCAACAGAAAAGGGTCCTTCAGTGAAGACAGGTTCATGAGGGCCCTTTCATCCCTTTTATCCAAGGGAGGAAATACGCTCCTTAAAAGTGGTCTCTACAACTCCACAGGCTAGAGACAGTGAGTGAGGGAAGAGCTCCCCGACGTCTGGGGACTGTAACGTTAACAGGCAAGTGACAAGGTCATACTAGCATCCCTGTCTCCGGCTTCGCGCTGGGTCAGCTGTGGGGTTCAGCTACTGCCTCCTGACAGCAGAACTGTCTGCCCAGCCTATGCCTGTAAGTTAGATCTTCTTGCGACAAGCAATTACTTTTATTCAACTAATAGATAAATATAACAAAGAGTTATGAAAATTTCACAAGTCCTTTTAAAGCAAGATTTGTTACTGTTAAACATCAAGAGATGCAGATTTATATCTGAGGTGATAAAATTTACCAGTTCTCCACTCTTCATAGTTCTCCTTTAGTTTCTCTGAAAATTTTCTTAACTCTGTCAAACATAATTTGCCCTATTAATATGTTGGTAATATTACAATATCCTATAGGACATCATCTCGACCCCATTATCTTCCCACTAGGTAATGTGTTTAACTTCTTCCCTAAATAAAAAACGCAGTGATGAATCTGATAATTACAGAATAACAAAATGTCCGGAATATATTTCTTTGTAAGAAAGATATTTCCAAACCTACTTGATGCACATGCGAAGATATATCCTCATTTCTGATGATGACTATTAACGTATCATTCTCTCTGTGGAAAGCTTGACAGAAATGCTGAGGTTCAATTTCTGTATGGCCTCCTTTCTTCAGAATATTCTGAAAGATTTTACAAATAGCCATTACCAAAAAAAGGACTCTTACACAGAACCACTTTCATAGTTTACTAGAAACATCAAAATCACATCCTATTTACTAAATTATATTCTAACAAGGCAACATAAATGGCAGTTTGTCTTATTTCTAAATGAGCTTTCACATATAAAAGAAATGATTCCTGGGTGTCACTAACAATTGGATTTAGAGGTTTATTTCAAAGGCAATGCACTTTATAATAAATACTTTCCATAAAGTATCAAAGGCTGATTCTTTTTAAACACCAGACATGTATGAGTCTTACCTTCTTCAAGGGAATTACCTTGAGGATGCAGATATTTACTCTAAAAATGCCATCTCCAGTCAAAACATTTCTAGAACTTTTGAAAATAATACCCATAATACCTATGCATTACTCTGAGCATCATTAACAGGGACTGATTTTGGAGAAAGCCATCCAGTGCCCCGGACGTAGGTACTGGAATCTGATGGGAGACTATGTTCAACTGTGCGTGGTTACGAGGCACCGTGGGGATGCAGTTTACTCTCTCATACAAAATAACTCTCTAAGAAGCCTGACTGGGAGGATAAGTTCACGTAACGAAGGCAAGTCCTTAACCCTGTCCTCTTGTGATTTTGACATTGTTTCTGTCTGAAGGATTCTGGAGGTTTCCATTGCACACTTTGATGTTCCTAGTTATACCAAAAACACTGTCTGATCACTTATTTCCCTTATAAAGTGTTACTTTGGTCAGTCTCCCCTTGATCTCAAGACAACTTACATTTTGACTATTTCAATTTATCACTCAAAATGTGTATTTTCCAAGAAATTCAGACAGACAAGATTTCTTTTAACAAAGAGCCCAGTAAAATATCTAACCATAAATCTTCAACCATCACTTATTTTACTAGTAAACTATTTGAAAGAATACATTTTCTGATATGTTCAACATGTTCAATCAAATCCTGTGGAGTTCTGAGCTCTTTTGTCATGCACTCAGAACTCTGACAGTGACAAGTGACCTCACAGATCTTCCTCATCTTACAGATAAATGGGGGCCTGACGTCTCGTCAGCAGCGGGTGTGCAGGACTCTACAGGACAGGAGAATGACCTGGGAGCGCTCTGAGCTTCTACAAGCATTTTGCTCTTCACAGTCCTTTTATTCTCAAGTTTATTTTATAACGTGCTCACTTACCTGAAGGTTAGTTTTACCTTTGCACTAAATTTATTTTCTGTTGTAAAGAGTGGCCACGTGATAAAATATGAAAGAGTACATTCACTACTGAAACGAGCATGATATCTAGAAGTACTTCTATGAATAAACGTAATTGCACGATCTCCCTCCCACATGAAAACCAGTATCACTGTGCTCTGTAAAGGGCTGAGAACTCAGACGGCGCTTCACACCTGGCTGAGAGGAGCGGGCCAGTCAGGCCGTGTCATGCAGCACTCCAGTCTCTGCAGAGGCCTCACGCTCCCCTGAAGTGGTCTCCTCAGCATCTACCTAATGGGCGCTCTGTGACGATGACTGTCACAACCTTCTTCAGATGTCTAATGTTCCTTAGTAATTCCACATTCATGGATTTATCATGTGACACACTCATCACGTGACAGATACTCTGGACTTACCACAGGACTTCTCAGAAGTATTGACATAAGTGAACTGGGAAACTAATTTAGTTGAGCATTTCGAACTAAAACGCTTACTAGTCTAGCTGTCCACACCTCTACAGGGTCAGCCATCACTTCCTTAAAAAAAAACCGTCCCTGACTTCCATTTGGGCCTACTGCCCTCAAAACAATGTCAAAGCACCTGTACCATTACACTTACCATAGTTTTAATTTCACATTTATTTGTCCCATTAGACTGTAAGGATCATGACAGAGGCAACATTTCCTCTCCACTGCACACATGGAGGCTCTAAAATATATACTAAGAAGAACTGCTGTCGTTTGAACCAGCTCCTGCTGTGAGTGCAGAGGAGGGGGCATGTTTGGGGTGCAGCTTTGGGTGAGTGCTCCAGGCCGGTGAAGAAGGGGCCGGCAAGTCCAGGGTTGAGCTGTAGGCCAGGAGCGTGATTACACAAGGGGTGGGGGAGTGAGCCTAGCAGCGGATCCGTTCAGGGTGATGGGAGTCAGTGTCCTGACAGCTGGAGAAGGGAGCTGCAACTCTGGCAAAGGCGGCTAGGATAAAGCTGGTGGTATTGGATAAGCATGCACCCGTTCTTGTCTTTTAAACATAAATGTAGATACAGATGTTGTTTGTGTGTTAATGTATACACTTAATATATTTCCTGGCTCTGTTTGCTGGGAAGACCTAGATGCAGTGACATCCAGTGGCACTGAGTTCACCCACTGCCCAGATCTTGATTCCAAATACTATTCTCCACTAAAAAGAATCACCGTTCCTTGGAGAAATGGCTGACTTCAAGGCTGGGGCAGGGAATATACGAGATAAGCCTATAACATCATGTCGTACCACAAAGGAAGGAAGTGTCCACAGAATTATGGGGACTTGTCAAAAGGACACAGAAGCCAGCTTAAAAGGACTCTCACTGGCTGGGTCTGGGACAATCTGAGCATTAAAGTAAATAATGAAGGATCACATAATAACCCTGAGTAAAATGATGTAGAACATGGGTCCACACTGATATAAATATGAAAATGAAGAAATAAACAAATGGGAGAAAAGGGAAAGCTCTACCCTACAGTAGAATGCCAACTAATAAATGCACAAGGCATGATGGAAGTAGAATACTACCATTTAGCAACCATCACAGTGGTACCTGATTCAGGCAAGAACCGTCAAGGGATGTTAAATTGGTGGGTGAAAGTCTAAGGAGGAATAGGACATTTACGTATCCTATCGTATCTTCCCACTTAATAACCATAACATGCTTATCACTTAATTTTACATTGGAGGAACCTGGCAGAAACCATCTTAACCAAGTGAAAAAGTTAATACACCAGGAATGGGACAAATCAACATTGTGTGCCTCCTGAGGTGATGCACTGAGAAGAGAACATCGTATCTGGGTATTCTTGCCTAAAATGCATAAATTATGAGGAAACAACAGATAAACACAAACTGAAGGAAATTCTATCAAATAACTGGCCTACAGTCTTCAGAACTGTCCAAAGTCACAAAGATAAGGAATGACAGAAGAACTATTCCAGACTGAGAAAAACAGAGACATGACAAGCAAAGATAACATATGGTGCTGGACCAATGGTGGGATCTGTGGATTGGACAAGCATATTGGATTAATGTTCACGTCCTGACTTTTAGGGTTGTGCTGTGATCATACAGAAGAAGGGTCCTTGCACTCAGGTAGGACACACATAATTGTGTATTAAGGGGTACTGGGACATCGTGTCTGCAACATACTTTCAAATGGCTCAGAAATGTTAACAGCAGGGTATCTGGGTGAAGGTTACCACTTCTGTAACCTTTATGTAAATCAGAAGTTATATTTTAAAAGCTAAAAAAGAGAGAGAGAATGCTCTTTTTCCCCAAGTAGAAGAGAAATAAATTCTGAGAGGATAAAATGAGGAAGCTAATGGTGAATCAAGATGGACTCTGGCTCCTACCAAGTTAGAATTTTACCGTGGTTACATCATTTAAATTTAAAGACCATGTTCTCACACCAGAACATCACTTATCCTAATACTCAAATTAAAAACTACATCCAAAATCAAAAGAGGTCCCTCTCAACTATCCACACTAACGGAGGAAGACAGGTAATAATTTTTAAAAAATCTGAATTTTACCTTTGGAATATGTTTATGTTTACATTTGAATATGAGCATGTCTACACTGGTAACTTTTCATGAAAATTAGTCACTGCACTAATTCTGGAACATCATACAAACCTTCAAATAGAGTACAAATGGCAGATCCTTGTAGCTTAACATTTAGTATGCAGATAAAGACTGAGCTGTGAAACTCAAATACCACTTCGTATCATGACTTCTTTCTGAAGCCAAGAATGCTAAATTGATTACTTCTAAAATAAACTAAAAGTAGACACAATCAAAATAATATAAACTATAAGAAAAATCTGGCACTTTACCTTTGTTCTTAGGAAAAATGACTTGTCCTCTGTCTCAACAAGGTAGAAGAGGAAGGTACTTTTACAAGCCTCTTTCACAACACTTCTTAGTTTCACATGCAAACTGGTACACAAGTCTGTAATCACGTCTTCATAGGAGGCTGACCTTCTTGGGAAAGATGAATACATCTCTTGAGATGTGGCTTCTCCAGAAGCAACAATTGACTCTTTATCCTGGAAAACAACTTGGTTGCTATTCATCATCACCTTGTTAAATTCAGCATATTCATTGAGAATAAGTGAAATGTCATTCCGTGATTCTTTCAAAGTACTGTTATATTTCAGTTTGTTGAGGTGGAATGAAACAGTCTGATTCCTTTCAGAATTTGTAAGGTGATTTCTACTGCGACCACATCTCTCTTTCCAAAAGGAAGAACTGTCCAAATTGCTGGGTATGTGGCCTCTTGTGTGCTGACTCTGTTGTCTGGTGTCTGAGTGCACGACTGTTACCACAAGGGGACTTCTGCTCCGGGATGCAGGATATAGAACTGGGGACTCGGACAGTTTTGTCAGAGGGAAAGCTCCAGCAGCGATTTGGAGAGGTGACTCCTTCAGAAAGACACTTGTGCAAGAGGCAGAACGCTGAGAATCTCCATTCTTTACAATTTGTTTTAGTTTATGTGCAAAACGGAGATACTCCAGGTCTAAAGTGTTCTGGGTGAGGTCGTCCGCCACCTGCCAAGTATTTGTCCAGGAGCTGAGCAAGCCACATTGTGCAGTGAAACTGGGCTGCCTCCTCAGGCTGTGCAACGTCCTCGTGGTCTCATTGAGCTCTCTAGTTACAGTGAAATTAGTATAAGTCCTGGGGATACCATGGAGATCTCTGATTTGGATATAACGTGGCACACACTTATCTCCTTTCTTTAATCCAACAGACCAGTTTCTGGGAGGAATGCTTGTCTCCAACCCTGGAACCTGGTTAGAGTAGCCCCAGTCTTCATTATCACTATTGTTTAGGCCCAGGAAAGAGGCATAATCATCTTTTGAAGCACCTTCTTTTTTCTTGGTGTGACTACATCGCAAAGTGCAGGAATCCTCCACTTCTAATTTGGGATTTCTACAGTCACCAAAAAAGTCTTGATCGGAGTCTCCAGAAAGTGGTTCATAATGGATGTCAGAATTCATAATGGGTATCCCACTGATATCCATGTCTCCACCCAGGGTTTCAGAGTCCTCCCTGGCCCTGAGCCCACCAGCGCTCTTATTTTCTATCTGCTCTGTAGAGACTCCACAAACAAGAGGAGCACAAGATTTGGGAACAGAAGCAGAAGGCTCTTTACCGATATTTTCACTAGTGACTGCTATCTTTTGGTAAGAATCAGCATGTAAACATGTGGGAAAAAGCCCACCATTCAGCAGATCTTTGGTTTCACATGGGGACATATCTTGTAGCATGTGGCTGTTTTGTTTGCCTTCTGGAGATGTGGTGTTCGACTGAGAGCCAAGACCTCCTAGATCTATGGCTTTTTCATGTAATTCAGCTTCAGTGTCACTATTCTTAAGCAAACTGGCCATTCTGACTACTGATATTTCCTGTGTTTGAAAGCCTGCCTCTGCATTTATGGATCTCGTACAATGGGTTAACGTGGCGCTGGGTGAGGAACAAGCAAGTTTGGGGCTCTCTGAGTGCACGTATGCCTGCGAAATACCAGCTCCATCAACTGAACTGGAGCTTAAGGACTTCTCTTGCATGTAATTGCTTTCATCTATTTTCAAATCACTGCTAAAGAGATTTTTCTTAGTGCCTTTAAGGCTAGTCTGCTCTTTTAACAACACATTCATTAAACTACTTGGAGCAGTTGTAGAAACAAATGTGTCAGCCAAAGACTTACTTACAATAATCTTTCTAGGACTAAATGGAGGCTCACTGGTCTCCAAGACAAGATGATTTAAGTCTGAATTTCTGTTCTCTACACTAATTGGCTGCAGTCGATTTCCCGTTACCAGTTTTTCCAGAGAAGGCTTGAAGTCGTCTCTGAAACTGGCAGCTGAGGTGGGCTGATCTAACTCTGTATCACAGTGTGGCACCTTTTCTGAGAGAGAGAAACCCTCATCATGCTCATTTGGGACAACTTCCTCAGTTACTTTACCAGGAAGGGTTAAATGTCTATCTCTTCTTGCTGGATGATTATTTAATGCTAGAGGTGTCTCAGGAGGAAGCTGCATCTGCTGTACCTGAGTTAAGTCATCTTGTCCCACTGGATGGGTAGGACCAACAAAAGAACTTTCTTTTTCTGTTATGGCCAAATCTACTGACTCAATCTGGGAGAATCTGTCACTTTTCTCACACTGTGTATGAGGAAGTTTTAAACTACAGAGAGACACAGCCTGAGATGGTTGTGTTTCTTCAACTGGTACTTGGGGGTCAGGACTAGAAGCTGGTGACACTTCTTCAATTAAAGAACCAAAGGGAAAGTCTGAGCTAACATTAACTTCCTCTGCAATCTCAAGGGCACAAGTTTCTTTAGCAAGTATTAAAGTAACTGTTTGTAAATGATCACCTTTTCTCTCCTCATTTTCTAATGGCTTCTCTGACACTGTAGGATACACTGATGTATAATTAGCAGAATTCACTTCTCTGTTTTCTACGAAAGTCACCTCTTCTGGCTCAATTATTTCTTCAGCCATATCCTGAAGTTCTAAATTTGATAATGGGGCCTCCTGATGTTGCTCTGTTTCACCAGCTGGCATTTCTTCTCTGGGACTTGTAGGTGGTGATATTGTGAGAGTTAGGTCAATGTCAGAATCTTCCTCTGATAACTCTAGGCTGACCTCCTCTCTATTCATAGATAAGCTAGTTTGTTTGGTAAATGCTGAATTAAATGATTCAAAATTCATATTTTCACTGTTTAGACCACTCTTGTCATTCTTTAGTTCTAAAGAGCCATCTGACAGACTACTTATTGATGGAACGCAGTTAAGTGAATAATTTTTTTCCAAGGTGGCAGAGGCTGATGATGAGGCTGCTTCAACCTGTGATGGCTCTATAGCCTCTTCCAAAGATACACCACAGAGACTCCGAGCTGGCACAAAAAATTCTTGAGAGAGTTTCATTTCTTCTCTGGGTAACGAATAATTAGAACTTTTAACTAATGATAATGCCTCCGTTACCAGTGAATTATCAGATGGCGATGATGAGCCTGGAACAGGAATCTCTTTCTGTAATGAACACATTTCTTTAGCAAGTGTCTCTCTATTTACTGAGGAGGCACAAAGGTACTTAGTGCCTTTTTGTCCTGACATTGCGAGAGATGGAATGTCCCTAAGACCTTGTGTTTGTGCCTTTTCAAATGTGGATATAGAATGTCTCGGACTTGTAGGAGGTGATATTTGTTTAATCGACTCCATATTAAAGATTGTAGGTTTATCAGCTCTATTTAAAACTTCTGGATGTACTGGGACATAAGCATTTTTTTCAAAAGTGAGAGTAACTGGTTCCAGATTAATCATTACATACCCCACATCATCCTTTCTTGCCAATGAAGGCTGACATTCTTTGTTTAGGGGGCTACTATGCTGGATAAGGCCTTGTAAAGCACCTGGTTTTGTCTGCATTGTTGCATGAAAAATATCAACTTTGTTTTCAAGGGTGCTGTACACAGACTTTTGACAAATCACTGACTGATTGCTGATCCCATCGTAAGTCTTGGTGAATGTGGTTTGTGTAACAGTATCATTGTAAGAAGTCACTCTTGTGCTATCAAGTGGCTCAAAGGTTTTATCTTCACTAGGAATAGAAGGTCCATTAGTTTGGGTGCTTCCAATACCAGAAAGCACAAGATTAGAAGTCTCTAGTTTATCTGATGATTCTTGTTCGGCCTTCCGCCCAATTATCTGAAATGACAAAAGTAAAAAAAAAAAGTAAAAAGTCAAATATTTTTTAAAATATTTATATATGGGAAGAACGGAACAGACGAGGGTCAATTTTAGTTTGTTCTTTTGAATCTTCATAGGGTAGAGATCAAGCAAATCTCTCTCTCTCTCTCTTTTTTTTTTGTGAGGAAGATCGGCCCTGAGCTAACATCCGCCAATCCTCCTCTTTTTGCTGAGGAAAACTGGCCCTGGGCTAACATCCATGCCCATCCTCCTCCACTTTATATGGGACGCCGCCATAGCATGGCTTGACAGGCGGTGCGCTGGTGCGCGCCCGGGATCCGAACTGGTGAACCCCGGGCCCCTGCAGCGGAGCGCATGCACTTAACTGCTTGCGCCACCAGGCCAGACCCCAAATCTTTCTCTTTTTAAATAGGCTTAAAATATCCCCAAAATAGGAATTTGTTTTCTTTAAATATACACAAATGAGAGCTCTAAAACTTTCTAAACTGCACATCCTATTTTTTTAACGGACTTTTGAGAAGAAAAGTGGCTAGACCAGTGACAGTCTAAAGACTTGAAAATGCAGCCTGTTTGCTAAATAGCATCACTTAATTCAGAAATGCAGCACTAGAGAAAAAGTACTCAATTAATTTTAATTGTTTTTAGTAAGATTAAAAGATATTTTTTAAAACAAAGAATAACTTATTTTAAACACCAGTTTTCAATTAGATTATAAATACATTGTCATTTGGAACTTTCCCATGAGGAAACAGTAATTATCTCTTATACTCAGAATACACTGATTAGCAGTTTTCCCAAGGTATCAATCTCCATTCTGGTAAATAAAGGTCCCTTACCCCTTAGCTATCTTCTTTGCTTATAACTGGAGATAATCCCTCTCTCATTATAATACTTCCTATTAGAGCAATAGAAAACATAGTACAGTTTGCATTAATAAACTAAACCAAAGGGATTGATTTAAAGAATAGCAGGAAGGACTCAGGTTAGACATTAGCAGAAATACCTCTGGACAATTTTGATAACCTCATAAACAGTCTTTTTTTTTTTTTTTTTAAAGGTTGAAGCATGGTCTTATCCAGAATATGGTAAAATGGATTGATCATACAATTGATCATACACATGTAATTTTTAGAACATTGCGGTCACAGATTTCCTGCCATGTCTTGAGGTGATCGTGCTGGAAGTCAGAACCTGTGTTTCAAATCTCTTGTTAAAAACCAAAGAAAGACACTGACCTGAGTAATTGGCAGGGTGGAGCTGAGACAGTTTTAAGAGGACGTGAGGGGCCAGGCACAAAGCATAGAAAAGTCTTGATGGTAAGAGTCATTCTGAGAATTTTCCTGGGACTCTCCCAATCATGCTGTGGCTGCTAATGTTTGGCCACAGTCTTGAATCTCACCATGAATCAGATGAAATCCATGAACCCATCCTCAGAAAAAACCCACATACATATGTAACGTGTATGTATACACATATAAACACAAGATATATGTATATATGTATATGTATATAGTCATGTGCCACATATATGATGGTGGTCCCATAAGATTAGTACCATGCAGCCTAGATGTACAATAGGCTATACCACACAGGTTTGCGTAAGGACCCTCTATGATGTTCACATAATGACGAAATTGCCTAACGAAGCATTTCTCAGAACATATCCCTGTCGTTAAGCGATGCATGACTGTATATACATACACATACACAGAATTTGATATCGAGAAACATCTAGATTGTCTAGATTTGAATCTTGGCTTGATAATTTACTAACTATGTGACTTCAGGCAATTTCCCTACTTCTCTATGCGTTTGTTTCCTCATCTATAAGATGGGCAAGAATGGGTCTTACCTCCTTGGGTTGTATGGGAATTAACTGAGTGAATTTGAGTGAAGGGCTCAGAACACCACCTGGCCCAGCACTCCATCAGTCTTCATTTTGATGATGAAGATGAGCACGTGGAGACATTCAAAGAGTCTCTGAGGCTCACCCCTGGACCTGCAAATTCCCAAGTAACCCCAGGTATAGAAACTTTTGTCTACCCAATGTTAAGACAGGCATTGTAGATGCCCAAACCCATGCCAAATTATTCTGGAATAAATCTGGGCCAAAAGCTTAAAAAGGCAGGTAACTGTCAATCCATTTACTTAGAATTTTGATACCACTTTTTTATTTGCTCCAGTAAAATCTGATTATCTGGCTTGGTTGCATATCAGTTAAGAACAATGGAATGAAACAAAGTATATTTTCCATATTTATAAATGATTTAGTGTTCTAGTATTTGTCGTCAAAAATAATTTTAATATATTCAATTTTAGTTTACTTTAAGGTTTATCAAAGATTTCTAATTATTATCATATTTGATCTTTAAACATTGTTCTAGGTAAGACATAACAGGTATTATTCACCTCTTTTAAAAGATAAGAAAATAAGCACAGAGAGAACAAGTAATTTGCCCAAAATTATACAACTAATAAGTGATACAATTATGGTTGGCTCCCAGATCATCTGACCCCATGATTTTTTTCTACTTGCTGCTTCTTCAATCAGGATGGTAGATAAGCTCTACCTGCAGACAATCCAGAGCAATTTGCAGACAATCCACCTGGAAACAAAAACTAAGTTTTTGGCATTATGATCCTTTAGATAGCTAGAGGGTCCACTTTTCTAAAAGAAACCAATGTCTTGTTTTGAATGTGATTTTTACATACAAAAACCAAAAATTTCTTCAAAAACAATGTTAGCATTTATAGCACTTAGCTTTACTTACCTCTTTATTACAAGAGTAGATGAAATTCTGGCTTTCTGGGGTATCTGGACCACCCTCTCTTGCAAAAATTTCTTTCTGTTCACTCTGTACCCAGAGTTCCAAGCCTCTTGCAGGTGGTGGTTTCATGAAAGGAAGCAAGGAGTTAGTGTCAGGGAAGGACACTTCGGCAGTATGACCTCTAGGAGTTTCATTAGTCTCCAGCAGAGGGTCTACGGAACACCTTTCCACGCTGGGGAGCTCCTCAAGTTCACTGAATTCAAAAGATTCTAACGTGCTATTTATAGACACATATTTTGCTGGGTTGCTGTGTTCTACCACTTTTCGGGATGATCGTATGACCTTGTTCTGATTGCTGTAGAACAGAGCTACCCACATATGAAGTAAAAGCTTCACTTCTTCCACGTTATCAGGTAAATCAGTGTTCCAGGGCCTGAGATTTTAAAGAAAGAACATATAAAAGTCATTGAAAATGGTTAATTTTAGTTGATTATCTTATCATAAGCAAGTGTCTTCATTATTAGTCTTAGTTTTTATATTTTTATTTTAAAAATTACACAAACATGAGAGAGTGACTAAGATAAAAATGAAGTTGATTTAACAAATAATTACAATGATTCCAATCCATTCATTTTACAGAGACAGAGAGAGAGGAACCGAAAATCAGAACTTTCAGTGACTTCTTTCAAATCACAAACCCCGTAAGTGGTAGAAGCACGATTGGAACACAGGTCTCTCGACTCCTAGTTTAGGATTTTTCTTTTATACCATGCAAACTCTCTCTGGATACAATATACCTATTATGTGAATAATGGTTTCAGCAACTACCCAAATCCTCATCTCCTTGCTTTTGCTAAGTCTGGCCAACTCGTTTCTTTTCTATTTTTGCCTCTTTCTTCTAATAGTTGGGAAAGTCTGAAGATTAAAATATCTCTGTGGGCAAATCAGCAACCTACTATACTATTTTCAGATTACAGTTCTGGAAAATCTCCTGAAACCATAAGGGGAGATACAAAACATTTCAGGCCATCTGCCAGGCAAAAGGATAGCACAGAGCTGGAGTGGGATGAGTCAGAGGGGCTATGGAGCTAGCTTTCGTTAAACAGGATTAAGGCTAAGGAAATGACCCTCATGGGTAGATGGGAACCTAAGTGTATGCTCTTTTGAGTGTGAGCTCATAACTGGAGCAAGGAAAGAAGTCGGATACAATTTAGTCACTCACGTGTGAAACAGTCCACGAACAGATAGCTGAATGTCATTTTACACAATTAATGCTTCCTGCTAATGGTACAGTTACCATTTATCAGTATGTGCCAGTCACTGTGCAAAACCCAAATGGACGTAACAACCTCATAATGTAGATATCACTAAACCCATACTTAAGTGTTGTCCACAGACGGTCATCCTCCATTGGCATCACCTGGAAATTTGTTAGAAATATAGCCTCTCAGGCCCTATCCCCAACAAACTGAGTCAGAATTGGCCATTCAATGAGAGGCCCAGAAGAGTCATGCACAGTAAAGATTGAGAAGCAATGTCCTGAAGCACAGGCACTTCCAGATCACAGAAGCTAGTAAGTGGGCGAGCCTAGATTCAAAACCTAGGTTAGTTCACACTCCAAAGCCTGTGCTTCCAGCCGCTGTGCTATTACCGCCCTGACCTCTTCTTAAGGAAGATTTATAGAACAACCCCATGTAAAACTGTTCACTCAGCAATCTGACCAACTTAACAAGCTAAAAGTAATTTTTTAAATGTTTCTTCTGGAATTCATTCTGTAAGGCATTATTTCTATATCTCGCTATTTTATATTAAGATCTCATTTAAATATTATAATTCAAAGAGAACAAAGGTTTATGAAGAAGCGTCGCAAAATGGAAAGCCATTCACAAGGCTAAAGTTATCTTGCAAAAGTTCTCCATGTGGACAGTGGCAAAATCAGCCTCATATTCTTAACTGTCAGTCAACAAAACTGCTTGATATTATTACCAAGTTACTGGATTTACACACTTCTTTCTCCTTCCCCAAGGTTTGGCACAAGTATCCTTTCTCACTTATCTCAACAGAAAAGTTACATTCATTTTCATCATGTCAGTCCTACTTACCCATGTAATGCTCTTATTACGGTTTTCTCCAGTGGGTTGTTGGTATATTTGCTGTCTAAGCTGAATACATATTCTGTGTCACATTTGAAAGTGACCTTAAAGGAGCCATCACAGCTGAACACAGTATGAGAGCAGTAAAAATCTTTCAGGCTGGAGGACAGCAATCTGCTCTTGCGCTTGAGTAATGAGTCCTCAGAAAGCTTCTGCAGAGGGGAGGTGCTCTGCTGATGCCGAAACGGCATTACTTTTCCCACTGGGGTTCCTGCTTCAGGGCCTTTTGTGCCGTTCTTGGCAAAGGCAGGGCCTGGTACCCCTCTCTGCTGTAGATGCTTCTTTGAATGTTCTGCAAGGAACAGGGCATAGGAATGTTCCACAGCAACAAAAGAGCTTTGGCTTGAATCCGAAGTTTCTAGTATCTCCTCAGGAAGTGCCAACTGGCCTTCCAAAGGGGCCTGACTACCAGGAACCAAGCATTCTTCCTCGTGGCTAATAGTGGGGTCTGATGTCGGATTACTCTTCTTATCAGAGGAGGGCTTAGGTAATGGTCCACCCTTTTGATTTTTAACTCCTCTGTGATATTCATGGTCAGATGTACCGCACAAAGAATGTTCTTTAGAAAGCAAAACATTGTTTTCTGGCACTTCAGGGGAGCAGGGAAGCTTTCTGGGCTCAGATGATGGTGGGGTAGAGGTAGCAGCACTTAATGCTAGATCAGCTAACATATTTAGGGCCTGGGAGTCACAGTTGACAATGGAGTTCTCAGGTAAACCTTTCTGAGCCACTGTGATATTTTCTGGTTGAGCTGTATTTATGCTAATAACATTTTCACGACCATCTGATGAAATTTCTGATTGAAGCTGTGAAGCAGTTTCTCCTCTGGCTTCAGTATAAAAGAAAAAAAGACATATAACATTTGATTTCCATCAAATTAATCCTTTGCTCTATTACTACGGCTTAGTGAAACTCAATGGTTAAGTCAATATATTCAAGAAAAACCTTTTGATATGTTGTATAGATTGTATATTAAAATTTTACTCTCAGATTGAGGTCTCTTCCACCTCTCAGACCTATTCTAATGTATTTACCAGAGGAACAAGTCTTAAAGACTGTGCATATTAATTTAAAAAGAAATCACTCTTCAAAAATGCATGTACTGAACTACACACAAGGCATACTGCTCAGCTAAAGAAATATATAGAGAGAAAAAAACAAAAAAAGATAACAAGAATCCTGCCCTTAGAGAGCTTACAAGCTAGTGAGAATACAAGAATTTCTAAGTTTGAAGTGTATATTAATTATAGTGTTAACCTACTTCCTTAGAAATCATATCCCTTAACAATTGATTTATTAGAGAAATCACCTAAGTTCAAAATAGAGATGATTTTAACCATATTGATGTTTAATTATAATAATGATATGAATAAAAAATTAGAAAAGTTCTAAGAGTATTCAGAATTGCCAATTAATTTCATCACTCTTTAAAACTTCAATTTCTGCACTGAAAACATCTCCTCTCTATCTGCAAAATAGCAAATCTCTTTGTCTACTGATAATTCTCCTTTCTGCAGACATTCAAGTCTACCCGTTTACCTTTAATCAGAAAACTGACATTTACTGATTTACTTGCTTTCTCAGGACATTAATTCAGCCTTCTTAAATGCAGTTACCATGAGGGACAAGTTCGCAACAATATGAGGCAATGATTCCCTGTAGCAGGTGAATGGATGGACAGAAAAGTCACTGTGTTCCTGTTTCCCATGAGGTCATCAAATAGAAAGAGAAGGGTGTGTGGGTATGGTGAGGAGGGTAAAATTAATCAACCACTGTCCAATTTTTAAAACAGCAAAACCCAAGAGGGTTAGGTGGAAGAAAGTGACCCAAAGCAGAGAATTGTCTCACTAGCCCCACAGGTGTACTGGAAATGTGAAATTCATTTTTTGATCTGATGTGTTTATTGATACTAATTTCATTCTATCTTTGTTAATATTATGGCTCTTACACAGAATATCACTTATGAGTAAGGTCTAATATAAAGAAGACTGTAATGAAGTCAAGAAAAAGGATTCAGTTTAATAAATATGTGTAGTCTCAGGTAAATCATTTAATTACTGACTTGTTAGAGGTTCTCAATCAATTAAAAATACAATACTGATAGTCTTATCTCTTTTAAGAATACAGATAAGACAATGCCAAATGAATTATATAAAAAATATAAAGTTCAGTAAATAAAAACTATATTGAAAACTTTTAGGGGCTGGCCCCATGGTCTGGTGGTTAAGTTCAGCGCACCCCGCTTCAGTGGCCTGGGTTCGGTTCCCAGGTGCGGACCTACACCACTCATCAGCAGCCATGCTGTGGCAGTGACCCACATACAAAATAGAGGAAGACCAGCACAGATGTTAGCTCAGGAGGAGTCTTCCTCAAGCAAAAAGAGGAGGATTGGCAATGGATGTTAGCTCAGGGCAAATCTACCTCAGCAAAAATAAAACAAAACAAACAAAAACTTTTAAAAAGACAGAAAATCATTAGTTTCAATAATAAAATGATTGAACCTTCTTAAACTCTGATATTTCAAGTATAAGAAATGAAACAGATTAGTATAGGTGATTAATAAATAAAAGAAAAATTAAAAGATTATTTAAAAGGTAGTAATCTTAAAATTTTTAACTTGGAATGTGGCTGCACAATATATACAGACATTAGCAATACAAATCAGCCTATTTTGAATACACATTTTAAAAACTTTTCATTTTCTGGACTCACTTTTCTGCCAATACCCAATGCATACTTCCTCCCATTAATAAATTAGTCTACAAATATCTGAGAGCCAATTTGGTACAAAGAATTCAAATGACATGGCTAAGAATACAAGGAATGATATATATTTACAAACTAATTGGAAAGACAGGACCAAGACACATCAAATGATTAGAAAATAGTGTGAATTTAATTCCATAATGTTCTCAGAAACCCAAAAGGAAATGAAAGAAGAGAGAGATCAGTGCAGATCAGAGCATCAGGAAATGCCTCACTGTGGAAGTAGAACTTAGCTGAGCAGAATCTGGACTGAGAGAGGGAATTACACAAGAATAAAAACAGATGTTATGCTTGTGGGAGGCACTGAGTGCCTGGCAGGGAAGGTACATGTTAGGAAACAGCAGGAGAGAAATATGGACACATGGGGTAAGATCACATTATGAACTGCCTTGAGACACAGAAGAGTTTACCCTTGGTATGGATGCCAAAATTGCAACACTATGGGTTTTAGAATGACATGATGAGCCTTTAAAAATCTTCAATCATCAAACCATATTAAAGAAACTTACAAAAGAAAAAAACAAGCTCACTCATAAGACCATCACCCCAACAAAACAATAGTTTCTTTCTCTGAATTTCCACTAAATATGAGATTATTTTAAACTCTACAAATAGATGAGGGAGATTAGACAGAAAACTCATAGAAATATAAAGGTATGAGGAAATGAAGTCTTTGTTAAAACAAACAAACAAAAAACCAGCACACACAGAAAACGACAGAACTCAATATCAAAGAGAAAGTAAAACTGACAGATTTTGCCGATTGGAAGAACTGCACTATACACAGGAAGGGAAAGTTAAGAAGGGACGTGGACCTGGCAGGAGAGCTGGTGTGTGTTCAGCTTCAGAGGTGAAGTCTGCGGCGACAACAGAACTTTCAAGTAAAGAGGGTATGTCTAACAGTTGGAAATACAGAACCAGAACAGTCAGCTGTCTGTTCTTATAACTAAACTTTATTATTCATTTAAGCAAAAGTAGAAAAGTAAAACTGCTTTTAAAATTAATTTACTGCCTTTTAAAACCAAATACAGGATTCTGGATTACTGACTGTTTCGAACAATCTCTTTACAACTCCCTTTGGACATATAAAAAGTAGAAGGTTGTAAGTTTATAAGAATACCATCAGATTCTACTTGCTTGTGCATTTAGTCATGAAAAAGGCCATTTACACTTTAACTCTTATAGACAGTTCATGTTCAGGCTTTATGCAAACTAAAAATTAGGGTCTATTTTGTGAAGGCATGAATCTTTGCACTTCCCTAATTTATTTATAATAGAAAGCAAGTTACTTTAGTCCTGTTAGTGTCTGAACTAAAGAATATAGCAAGAATTGCTGACAGATTTCAACTGTTCTTATATTATTTCAATACATTATCTTGCAATAGTCTGTACTGTGGTGTTTAAATTTACAGGAAGATTATTTCTTACCAGGTTGTGGCTGCTTTCTGATTCTGGGATTCTGATTGCCTTTTACTATATTTACCCTCTGTTTTTGTGGAGATTTCTTCACGGGTGGCTTAGCCCTTGAAACAGTTTTGACTGCAGATTTCTCTGGCTTCTTTGCCCTTTTAGCATTCGTTGCCACTGGAACATCTTTAGAAATAGGAGCGTCTTGGTTTTTCCTATCCAATTTGGTTGTCTGTACAAACTGTGCAGCCAGCACTTCAGCACCTTATGTAGAAAAGACACCATTTTTTAAGGGGTAGGGGGCTCAGAGATTTATCAGCATAGCTTTTCCTTTTACTTCTTTTGTTTCCTGGGGGTAACTTTAGTAATGGGGAATAAAATATACAATTTTGGGTATTTCATTATGAGATTTTTTTTTTTTAACAAAGCAAGAGTTAAAAGTTCTCGTATAAATATAAAAATATGAACTTGCTAAGTGTTGGTCTATACCCCTATCAGATGAAGAAGAAAAATATGAGTAATAACTTTATAAAAACAAGGCATGACTTAATTTAAAAAAATATCTTCATAATCTTTCTAGACTGATATGGCAGGTAAGAATGAATATGCTAGTTCATGGCGCTAGGACATGGATAATTCAATTTACGCAAAAGCAACACAGCTCCCATAAGGGGGATCTGGTTAAAACTATAGTCATGATGGGGCCGGCCTGGTGGCATAGCAGTTAAGTTCGCATGCTCAGCTTCGGTGGCCTGGGGTTCGTGGGTTCGGATCCTGGGAGCGGACATGCACACTGCTTATCAAACCATGCTGTGGCAGTATCCCATATAAAAAAGTAGAGGAAGATGGGCACGGATGTTAGCCCAGGGCCAATCTTCCTCAGCAAAAAAGAGGAGGATGGGCAACAGATATTAGCTCAGGGCTAATTTTCCTCAAAAAACCCCCAAAAGTATAGTCACCCTATAAAGAAGAGATCGTATATTCATAAAGAGCCATCTGATATATTCCACTTTAATACTCCTAAATATCAAAGTCTTAATACCACGTGAAACATCATCTTCTAAGACAGAAGAAAGTCTTCATCTGATTTAATTTCCTACAAATCTATTATAATTAGTCATCTCTCTCACAAAATGCTCAGCTTTGCTTCTCACATGGAAGGAAGGAAATAGCTAACAATGGAGGCATGCAAGGAGAAAAAAACTAGTGACTACCTGCTTATATAAGACAACACAAAGTGTTTCCAGCTTTTAAGAGTTAAAAAAAGTTAATAAATATTCCCTTTCAAAACTTTTTTTTCCCACTGACTTTTCGTAATTTCAATTGTTCCCACCAAAAAATTTAGCCCCCAAGATGGCATATAATCACACATATGAATGTTGGCAAATATTTTAAAATTACATTATACAGAAAAACACTATTTCTAATTGAGAACAGGAAACATGATACTAAACAGTTAAAGAAATTATGATGACTGTTAGTGAAATGCAGAAAAGAAACCAATTTCATTTCATTCTTTTGGGGGTCAGAGAAAGGAGTGGTTTTAAAAATAAGTTTCTAGAATCTCTCTTCATACTGTACACTTCCCTGCATCTAATTATTTTCCTCCCTAGTAAATTATTACAGTTAATGAAGCAGCATATTGTTTATTTTTAAGAATAAGACTTCTCATTCCACTCCAGTTACGTTTTCTAAAATTTTTAGCAAAAAGAAACTCAAAATACAAATCAAGCATAAAAACAGTTAAGACTAAATTAGGAAGAGAAAGAAAATAAGATTTCTCTTCTTAGAGTAGATTTTGGGGAAAAAAAAAAAGAAAGAAAATAAGATGAGATGACCAAGACCTAGGGGAAGTTTCTAAGACCTGCACAGGCAGGAAGGGACAATCTCTCATGACCCAGGTCCTGGGAGGAAAACAGACATGAACCAAGGCAATCCTGCAGGGACTGTTCAGCGAATCTGCATCACTCAATACCATGTTTCTCAAACTGCATGCAATAATCCACTGGTGGATTGTAAAATAAATTTAATGGGCTGCAAACAGAAGTCTTTCTTAAATAAAAAAGAAAAGAATAGAAAATATCAGATTGTATTACACAAGTTAGGGTAAATGTTTTTTGAAATTTTTGTTTCAGTCATGCATGAATTTGTGTATACTGGACTACAATATAAAACACATTTCTTATAGTGGATGAAATTAAAAAAACTTGAGAAACAGTGACAACATATATGTTGAATCACAGATAATTTATTTAATATCTTGAAGTAAATGGGTTCATATAGAGCAGATTTCCTATAGGTTGGCCTGGAATTTATTTGTAGGTAGTTGCACAGTCTGATTCACTGCTTTATACTGCCATACTTTCCACCATCCTCCTAAATACAGACACACACACACACACACACACACACACACCCATTTCTCAAACTGTAATAGGCCAGAAATAACTATTTGTTAAACCATAGGATAAAAAAACCTTAATTATCTAGAATCCTGGGCATCCACATATCCTCGATGTTTCCTCTTTAGGCAACCAAATTTCTAAATTCAAAGTACTATAGACAGGGTTGGTAAACCTTTTCTGGGAAGGGCCAGGCAGTGCATATTTTCAGTTTTGAAGGCCACACGGTCTCAGTCACAGCTGCTCACCTCTGCCAGCGTAGTGTGAGGTAGCCAGAGACAACAGGTAAATGCTTGTGGGGCCCTGTGACCACAGTTTGCTGAGCTCTTCTCTAAGGGGTCATATAGCTTATAGTTCCCTACTTTTAAACAAAATACACTACATATAATCTGAAATGACTCTAAGCCAAAATCATGTTGTTTGTTGTGCTGTGTTCACTAAAGTGCATTTGACTATACACTAAATGGCTGTAGACTCTGATTCTCACTCAATTTTCAGGGGGCAACAAAACCGCCTGTAAATTGTTTCAATATATATGTCACCAGGCCACTGGACATGCGGTTTCACTAGGTCTGTGGTAGGATCCAGGTGACCGTTTTTAAAATTCTGATACACAAAAAGGATTAGAAATTCTGCCACAGACTGCTTTAGTTTTGGAGGTTCCAGACGTTTTTTTCCCTCTATGTTCAGGCTATCCGTCATCACTTTTTACTGCCATCGGTGTGTCTGATTTTAGCAGATCCTCCTCTGCCACTCTTACCTGTCCGAGGATAGCTCAGAAACTGGATAACCATATTTCTTGGAATGGTACGTAAATAACTGAATGAGAGTTTGAGCAGTTTTACAAGTGAAATATAAGCTTTTGGTGGGTGGGCTTTTGAGATATCTTACAGTTTTTCCTACTTCTTGATTTTCATCTGTTATCTAGATCAGTGCTTCTCAAACTTTAGCATGCAGACAAATCACCTGGGGAGAAATGCTGGCATTTCTAATAAACTCCTCATTGATACTGTCAAGCTGCAGTTCCCAATGATCAGACAGGAATAGTGTTAAAAGATAACAGTTATTACTAACTTCTCATTTAATAATCCACATAATTCGTGCTTACCTCGTTTTCTTTTCTGAGGAAACTGTCCTTTAACTAATTTGAGAGTGGCTGGAGAGTCTGAACACTTGTTTGCTCCAGCAGGAGTTCTTTTGGGGAAGGGACGGCACAAGTTCACCCTTTTACTCTGTACCCCGGGCGGCATGCTCGCCTTTCTCTTAGGCCGAACTCTCAGATTGGATGCTGGACTTAAAGGAACCACAGCTCTCTGCCTTGCTTTAAACATTTCTTCAGAATTCCTCTCTGTTTCAGCTTCTTTTCTTACTTCTGCCTCTGAGTCAAGAAATTCAGGATCTGGAGTCATAACTAAAGAAAATCCAGCATCACAAATTCCATCTGAAATATAAGGAGATTGAGGACGCTCTGCCAATAAATCTAACGCAGTCGATACTTCCAAAATGTACCCACTAGGATCTGAAAAATAAGACTTCAACTGAGTTAAAGATTGTAAAGGGCACTTTTCAGCTGGAGGAACCAAGTCAAAACCATTGGACAATTTGCCGAAGAATGCAGTATCTTTAATTCCCTCCTGAGAAGCAGCCAATGAAGGACTTTTGTCCACCTTGTACAGTTCTTGGAAATTATGCTTTACTAATGTGTTTGGACAGATTCCTTCTTCAGTAAACGATTTCTTTGCCTCTAGCAGGGCACAATTAAGGGCAGGTAAAATAGGTATCACCTTCAATGAGACATCATCTTCAACTTTCAAGTCTTTCAGCCCTGAAATACATATACATACATTAAAAACCTCAAGTTGTGTGTTTTTTTCTTTGTTTAGTTTTTTTTTTTTTTTTTTTTTAAAAAAACAAGCAGGAAAAACATGCTTTAGATTATAAAATTATACGATGGTTAACTATGATATAGTGTTTCAAATGGTAATCTAAATGACAATTAATAGAAGACTTATGGGTATATTTAATGAATATATACATATCTCCATATATATGAAATCACACACACACAGAACCAAAAAAGAATCATTCAGATGCAACCACTTGGTTACAATGAAGAAGGCAGATCTGCCTCCAGCTCCGTCTCATCTGACCAGGAGCCCAGCGTGACCTCGATGCACTGTCAGAGCAATGGCACCGGCTTTGGCAGATTTGCTTTTCTGCTTTTTAATTCTCACCTTCTGCTTTTAAAATATATCTTATTTTATCTATACCTTATATAACTTACTTTAAATTCTTCTAAGAAGCTACAATGCAAACCAACTGAACTGAAAAAAGTAAAACCCTTAAGTAACCCCCAAATCTCATGGTTAATAACTATTGGTGTCTTGGTTTCTCTATCAAACGGAATAAAAATTTTTTAAAATTTAAGTAACTACACTGACAGTCTGCATTTCACTTCCTTTCCCCGGCTCACTCTTTAACTGCAATGCTAATTTTTCAGCAAATCAATAACCTAAAGGAAAACACTAAAAGGGGAAAAAAGAGAAGTCAGGTTTCTGAGAAGTGGGTAATAAAATCCTAGAAATTTAAGTCATCACTAATAAAAATCCAGAGATGACATAGACTTCTGGTGTCTACTAAACTGAAGTATATACGCTTCTTTAAATATTATTATTATTTTTATTTTATTTATTTATTTTTTTCCCCCAAAGCCCCAGTAGATAGTTGTACGTCATAGCTGCACTTCCTTCTAGTTGCTGTATGTGGAACACAGCCTCAGCGTGGTTGGAGAAGCGGTGCGTTGGTGCGCACCTGGGATCCGAACCCGGGCCGCCAGCAGCGGAGTGCTCGCACTTAACCGCTAAGCCACGGGGCCGGCCCTATACGCTTCTTTTTAAAGAAAAAGTCATTGTAAAATTAAGTAACACCAAGTTAGTTAATTTGTACTACTAAATTTAAGTAATTTGTACTACTAAATGTACTACTAAAATTAAGTAACACCAAGTTAGTTAAAATGTACTGAATACATTTGTACTTGAGCAGGTATTAGGAAAAGGAAAAGGATGGCAAATATAAATAAATAGGAAAATGTGCCTAGACATTCAAATAAAAATTCCTTTCTTTTTATTTCATCATTTAAAAAGTAACAAGTGAAGGAAAAATAGAACAAAAAGTTCTTATGTACTTCTAACAGTTCACAATGAAGTAGTATTTTTCTAGACAAATCAATTATTTCAAGAATTTGGGAAGACAGAATCCAGAATGATTGTAACAGACTATTATAAAATCCATGAAAAAGAACTTTTTAAGTCTGCTAAGCAAAGTATCACTCAATTTAAAACAAACAACCCTGGCTCTGAACCTCCAAACTGCCATCAATAGAAACTGCCTAACGAGCCAGAGGAGGCCATGAGCACCGGGACACAGCACTGCAGTGTTTATTCCCACAGCAATCCTGGGCTGTTCAACACTGAAGGGTACAGGTACTGATGTTTCTTATTTGTGCGGCAGTTTACGTTTAAAATAAGAATAGTCAGAGGTCTCTTACAGAAGAGGGAGGCAGTATGGGACGGAGTTGGAAGCCAGCTTGAGAGTCAGTTGTTTGACCTTGGGCAAGTTTAAGTCTCAGTTTCCTCATCTTTGAAATGGTCATAATAAGAACGCCTATTTTAAGGGCTGCGAAATCAATTACACCTAGCACAATACCTGACATAGGAAAAGCTTGAAAAGTGTGAACAGCTCCTGCCATTACGTTGCTATAACTGGTAATGTTTTGCTTAGTACAAAGAAGTGATGCCTAAGAAAGTGCCATTCTCCACTTTGAGTAACTGAACACAATTTTAAAAAATCAACTTTAAAAATCCTTTTGTATTGGTTGTAACTTTATAAATGCTACACACAATTTTATGTTTAAACACACAAAGTATAACTATAAAACAATGAGGAAAATTTCCTCATATGACAAAAAGAAGTGACTCATTTACTTCCATTTATTTATACGTTCAGCAAACATTTATTATTTTTCAGGTGCCTGGCATTGTTAGGCAGTAAGGATACAGCAGAATTTAAGAAGGGCAGGCATTGCGCCGGCCCCGTGGTTTGGCGGTTAAGTGCGCGCACTCTGCTACTGGCGGCCCGGGTTCGGATCCCGGGCGCACACCGATGCACCGCTTCTCCGGCCATGCTGAGGCCGTGTCCCACATACAGCAAGTGGAAGGATGTGCAACTATGACGTACAACTATCTACGGGGGGCTTTGGGGGAAAAAAAAAAAGGAGGAGGATTGGCAATAGATCTTAGCTCAGAGCCGGTCTTCCTCAGCAAAAAGAGGAGGATTAGCACGGATGTTAGCTCAGGGCTGATCTTCCTCACAAAAAAAAAAAAAAAAAAAGAAGGGCAGGCATTAAATAATTATACAAATAAATATTTAAGTTACATTGATGATAAGCCTAGGGCTCTTCATTGAGGGAAGAGTGGTGACAGGAATCAATAAAGTGGTATTTAAACTGACACCTGACAGACAAGAGTCACAGGCTAAAGCAGGGCTTCTCCTCTGATTTTATTCATTATCTCCCCCCACCCCCAGAGGCCTTTTAGACTTCGTTTCCTAATTGTTCTTTGAAATTTTAAACCAGAGATATACTGTATATCTATTTATATACTATATGAGTAATATTTTTTTGCCTCTAAGAGCCAATTCTTGGTCCTATGGGGGTCAACATCACCCGATAAAGGGAAAGGAGACAAGGAGTCCAGAGAGAGGGAACTGCATCTGTGAAGGCCCTGAGTCACATTTACTAGGCAGACTATGATAAAAGTATCTCCTAGCTCTTGTTCAAAAACAAATGAATTCAGTTTGGGACATGCTGAATTTGAGGGACATCTAAGTGGAAATGTCAACAGACAGGTAGATATGAGGGTGTGAAACTGAGAAGAAATGATAAGCCTACAAAGGAGATAAAGAAAGACCAACCAGGGAGGTTAAAGGAAGAGAGTTAAGAGAAGAAAACAGTTAAGTAAGATGAGGACTGAAACAGGGCCAACAGATTCAGTGAACTGCAAGCCACTGTGCCCTTACCTGTAGACGGGGATGAACGGAACAAATGTAACCCATGTAGCCCCATTCGCTCATCTCCAAAATCTACACAGAATGAGTGAGAATTAGAGAAAAGTTAGGTGGTTGATCTTATAAAACAAAAGTAAACACACTGAAAAATATTTCTTCAAAAAAGTTGTCCTTACTTGTTTCTGATATTAAGGCTGATGATGTAAGTAAAATGAAAAACCCCCGCTCTTCTAAGCATTTGATGATTGCCTTAAAAATAAGAAAAAAAAAAAGAAAGAAGATTCAGTTCCTCTCTCCTTCTCCCTCTATCACATTCTACAGTGGATTTTGAGCTCATGAAAAGTAAAAAAACCAAAAAAACCCCCCAAAACTCTTGAAACGTTACTGTTCATGGGAATAAGAATTATTTTGTCCTCCAGTATCAGAAACTGCAAGTTCCTTAGTGCTCAAATAATCTTGGCCTTGTTAGGGCTACATATACTAACTAGAACCTCCAGGATTAGTTTTAGTATATGTGTTCAACTACATAACAAATCAATCAGAAAAGACTTATTTCATGTTTTCATTGAGATGCTTGACATTTCATACTGCTGCCTAAGGAGCCAATCTGTTACCATTTAGTCTCTACGAATTAAAGGTGGATCAGACCTATGATTAGCATCTTAAGCTCATGTTTACATGAAACATCACAGAATCCTGGAACCAGAAAGACTGAAAGACATCATCCAATAAAAGAATCCTTTCTACAGCAGCCTAAGAGACAGAAAATAATAGAAAATAACATAATTAGGTCCGTGGCAATAAGAAATGCAGATGAAAATAAATTCTTCCTCTTTTTTTTCCCCTCTACCACAGCCTTCAGGGAAACCTTGAGCTCAAGAAAAAAAAATTTTGAAATTTTAATGTTTCCAGTAACTATGGGAATTTTGTCCCCAGAGAGCAGGGGAAGTTATCTAAAAGCCATCATTCTAAATCATAAAAATAACAGTTCTTCTTTTCCATTATTCACCATTTCAAAAGCCTATATACCCATAACAAAGATAAAATCCAATATTCTTTTCAGTTATAAAACTGAAAAAAAATATAACATTTTAGAAAATAAAGTGACAAAACATTCTATTTCAAAAATTGATAGGTCATAAGCCTATAAATATGGTAAATCAATAAATTTTTCAATAACAATTCAAGTATGAAAAAAGTCTTCTTTTCTAATTATTATATTAGAACTAAGTTATGATGCTGATACTTCACTCACAGGAACAATCACTACTGTGACTCTTCATATGTTTCTATTATAGCCCCTACACATTTATAGTTTACATTTTTGTCTCCTCCACAGTCTTATAAGTTCCTTGATGGCAGGGACTATTTTGTATTTTTTCTTCAAGCACTCAAGAAAGAATTACTGAATAAATATACCAATAGTTTTATATATATATATATATATATATATATATATATATATAGCTTTCGGTATCTATTAAACTGCAAACAGGTATAATTCTTGTTTCACTTTCTATTGATGTAGAAAGTGAAAGTGACAATAACTAGCCTCTATACTGTTCTGTATTTTAGTTTTGTCATATAGATGAAAACTATATCTACTTAAAACCATACATTTCTATCTTCCAAAAACTGTGCAAATAAAACAGAAATATGTAGTATATCTTAGTCTCTCAAATCATGTACTGAAAGAGCTACATAAAGTTCCTATTTTAACCTTTGTGAGGAGAAATCATAGAATCTTTTAAATATGTACTTCTAGTCTCTTCCATTTACACACAGAAAAGTATAGTCATACATGTCCTTAACACCCTTTTTTTTTAATAATAATTTTATTTATTTATTTTCCCCCCAAAGCCCCAGTAGATAGTTGTATGTCACAGCTGCACATCCTTCTAGTTGCTGTATGTGGGACGCGGCCTCAGCATGGCCAGAGAAGCGGTGCGTCGGTGTGCGCCCGGGATCTGAACCCGGGCTGCCAGTAGCAGAGCGTGCGCACTTAACCACTAAGCCACGGGGCCGGCCCTTAACACCCTTTTAAAAAGACACCTTGCTCTGTACTGTTCTTGAAGTTCAGTGTTCTTAGGTACAAACCCACATAAACTTTATTCAAGGGACATTTATTGCCCCTCCACTATACACCAGGCACTAAGGAGTCAAAGATGCTTAAGACATGATACCTGCCCTCAAGGAACTCAATGTCTAGTTGGGGAGAGACTGATATATTTAATTACTCATAATATGATGAGGCAAGTAAAGAAGCATGGAGCACTGAGGAGGAAAGACCTTGTGTAATATGTAATTTCTATAATTAATTCTTCTCTCACTTTTTTTTTTGCAAGGAAAGATTCGCCCTCAGCTAACATCTGTTGCCAATCTTCCTCTTTTTCTTCTTTCTCCCCAAAGCCCCAGTACATGGTTGTATACCCTAGTTGTAAGTTGTTGTAGCTCTTCTACATGAGCCACTGCCACAGCGTGGCAACTGACAGATGGGTGGCGTGGTTCCGTGACTGGGAAGTGAACCCAGGCTGCCAAAGCACTGAGTGCCAAACTTTGACCACTGGGCTGGCCATCAGGGCTGGCTCGTATAATCAATTATTAATAAACAGGTTTCAAAGCAAAGTTCTGCACCAAGTCTCCACTACTTTCAATACTGTAAGTACTCACAAGTAGTCCCTTAACTAATGCATTTTCTGAAAATATCTGGACTTTTTCCCTTTTAATTTCCAAATATAAAATGGACTACGTCACTTCAAAAAACAGAGCCTACAATCCTACAGTAGATATTCAACAGATATTCCACTCAGCATCCAATGTCACCTAGTCCACCTCTGCACTGCAGAGATGGTTCTCCTCTGCTGTGCAGCACTACTGCAGATTGGGTGGGACTGATCTCATACCCAGTTCTGGAAGGTGAGGCCTGAGCTAATCAGTGTAGTCCATTCCCTTTTCAGTTACTAGTTGAGGGATACACAAATGACATAAACTGGTCTAATGAAACTGAAGTAATGGTTTGGAGGAGAGGTTCTCTCACTCTCTGGATGCAAAAAGGAACCATGTAGCCCTGACTGGCAACCTCAGGACAAAACTATCACACAGAGAAGAGTGAAGCTGAAAGAGAAAGAGTCCTGAGCAAACAGCACTAGAATTTGCCTTATCACCTAGAATTGGAAAGTGAGTCTATTAAATCCCTTTACTGTTTAAGCCAGTTTGGGTTTCTGTTATATGCAACTCAAAGTATATTAACTGACACTATTCCTAAAACAGATTACCTTCACAACTTATACTATACATGTTCCATTTTAATTTATTGATTTCTCGCTATCTACTATGGAGGACAGTGGGTCATCATGTCACTAAAGGGCTCAGACTTGTGTGGCCGCTGTTCCACACTTACATCATTTCCCTTGGGATGTTTAGGAATCACTCACCATAAAGTCAGCATCTACTCCTACCCTCACATTGAGGAGCCCTGGGTAACGTAACAGAGATAAGTCTTTGTATCCTTATATTTTTCTCAGTAGAGTCTTACATTCTACAGTATGGAAACAGTAGAAGCAGCAACTTTTTTTTTCCTTATAAACTTACAGATAGACACAGATCACTTTTAAAGAAGTATCTCACAAGTGGTCCTTTGATTAATGCAGAAACACTAAGGATCTACTCAATTCTTCCATCATAAAACAAAAACAACAACAACAAAAAAGGATTTGAGGAAAACTGTCCTCTTATTCTTAAAATCAGGAGTATAAACTGACTAGTGAGACAACAAAAGTAAGATACAAAGGGGATGAAAATGCTAGTCAATAAATATTGTGTCAATAATTATTAAACAATGAAAATCCTTTCAGCAAAGCTTAAATAATTCAACCTTGACACAGACAACTAATAATTAGGTATCAATTTCTTAATTTAAGGAAAAAATAATAATTATATTTCAAATTGATGATTCTTACCAATTGCTTATTTTTAATGTATTCTGTTAGTTTATCTATTTTTTCCCCTTGTTTGTTTGACAATTCCACCTCATACATATCGAAGCACATATCTTGGCAACAGACTGTGGAGAAAATCAGAGAAACAGAACATGTCTTATTTTAAAATGGTATTATGCTTTTCTATAACCAATTTATTCATTTTATATGTTAAAAAGATGAAAGAAGTACTAGGAATACTATTCAAAAAACATTTATCATTCAATGTTCTTGGTTATAAAACTCCTTAATAAAAAGTTACTGTACAAAGTATTTGAAAACAACACTATCATTTATACTGACAGTACTATAAGATTAACAAGACAAATACTATATAAATAATATAAACATCAATGTTCCATGAATTAATCTAAATGACTGAGAAACTTCCTTCTCACATTTTCTGCTTCATTTAAAAGTACATAAATAAATAAAAACAACCACAAAAATTCTGTTCTCCTTGAAAGGAAGGGTTATGAGTTTCCAACTATTACTAAGCATATCCTGTTCACCTAATTCCCTCAGTATTCTATACTACAGCTAGTCTTTGCCATCTTAGATGAAACTACCTTTCCAAGGAAATGAATCACAAAGCAACTCTACAACTTTCCCAAAAGACTCTTTTAAGAATCACTTAAGGGAAACCAGGAGAGAGAGGGAGAGGGAGAGGGAGGGGGAGGGGGACGGGGACGGAGGGAGAGAGAGACGGAGGGAGAGAGAGATGGAGAGAGAGGGTGAGAGAGGGAGAGAGAGGGAGAGAGAGGGAGAGAGAGGGAGAGAGAGGGAGAGAGAGGGAGAGAGAGGGAGAGGGAAATAACTGAAACTGAAACAAAGCCTAAGGCATGCAGTGTATCATTACATTTGAACAGACCTTTTTGCTCCAAGTAATTCTGTTTTCTAAAGGCAGCTTCTGGTAGCCTTTTTTTCAAAGCTGATACTTTCATTACATACTTAAAATCTAGTTCACGTGGGCTAAAAAACAAACCAACAATATCATGCAATGCAATAAACACAAACAACAGCTTCATAATTTTTGGTTTTCTAATATAAATGTAAACAAAGATAACATAACCACAAAAAGTCCTTTAACTGACAAATTTCAGGTCAAATAATGTGCCTATTTATAAATATTACAGATTTTCAAATATATGATCCCATAGACCATAGTCTGCAAGTATGTTCACATTTCCTGAATGCATGTATTTTTGGTATAACCAAAATAAACAGATGTGTGGAAGAATTATACATACTGGCATGAGAATTTTCTAAAAATTATGCTACGTAAGAGTTGAAAACTTTTGACGATATTGGATTGCCTACCACGAGTGCCCAAGAATGAACCACATCCAGACTTTTGCATCACTTCCCCTGACTACTTTTTCCTTCTTTAAAATTCATTTTTAAATACTTGCAGACTTATAGATGCCCTCTTTTCCCCTAAATACTTCTGTGTGTCCTTAAAAAAAGACGTTCCCTTATAAAACAACAAAACAATGAGCACAATCAAGAAATTAACAATGATACACTACAATTATTTAACCTAAAGACCTCATTCAAATTTTGCCAACTATCTCACTAAGGTCCTTTATAACAAAACAATTTTTTTTCCAGTCCAGGATCCAATCCAGGATGACACACTGCATTTAGTTATGTCTCTTTAGCCTCCTTCAATCAGGAACAGTCTCTTAGTCTTTCTCTTTAATGACCTTGATAGTTTTGAAGATTACAGACCATTTATTTTGCAAAATGTCCCTCAATGTGGGTATGTCTAATATTTCCTTCTGATTAGATTGGCAGGAATACCACGGAAGTGATATCATGTCCCTCTCTGTGCATGATATCAGGAAGCACACAACGTTTATTCCATTCCTGGTGACGTTAACTTAAGCACTTAGTTAAGGTGGTATCTGCAGTTTTTCCATTATAAAGTCTGTATTTTCCCCTTTTGATTGATAAGTAAGTTTTGGGGATATATTGTGATATACATAAATATCATCGACTTTCCCTTACTATTTTGAGCATCCACTGATTATTATGGTGTTGCCAAATGGTGATTTTCTTATGCCATCGTTCTCTCTACACTTATTAGTTGCACTCTGTAGTGAGAAAGAACTTGCCCTTCTCTCCCATTTATTTATTCAAAGAATTCTTACTTCATTCTATGGATTATAATATTCCTCCCTCTTCTTAAAAAAGGCCAATAGAAAGAAAATGAATTCTGAGAGCACATCAGTTTTCACCTTATATTTCAATTAAACTATGTCTACCTTTCAATGGTTTGGGGTGCAAACTAAGAACAGACTAAACAAAGATGCCCTTCACAGTCCCCTGGAGGAAAATATTATGATAATTCATTGTAATGAAAATACATGTGACAGCTATTCTACTTAATACTAGCCTAGGAAAATCATGTGAAAATTAGAAAATCACATACCACAAATCTTAATAAAGACTCAAAAACAGAATTAAGTGGCTATAATCTGCTGCATCTGCTATCCAGGCAAATCTAATTTGTTTCTTGCAGAAAGTCAAACTTCTAGTATCAAATCAATTTAATTTAGCCTGAGAGGTCACTTTCCCATGAACAGATTAAGACACTAAAATTTAAAAAGTGATTTGTCAAAGATTATAAAACCAACTTATTACAAAGCCAAGAGCAGAATTTATCTGAATTTACGTCTCCTGTGTCATGACCCTGTGCTCTATGCATCTACCCAAAAGTAATCTAAAACGAAGTACTATTGCTGTATTTCACACCAGTGCTAACAAGCAAGACTTTACAATGAGAGTTAAAAAATTATACAAGCATTAATAAAGGACAAAAATTCAACACTTACAGTTGTGTTGGCACCACTGAACCATAAGAGGACCAAAGAGTTATATCACACAGTTGGCAGCCTTGAATAATTAATTTGCCTTTCCACGGAGAGGTAACAACTTTAAGAAATGAGGGTAAGAAAGAAACTGATTATTTCATTTATGAATAAAACATTTACTTAAAACCTAAAAACCTAAAAGAATCAATTAAATAATGCTTACCATTTTCACTGAGTTCAAGTCTAGGGAAAAAAAAAAAACATTTTTATAAGAGCAAAGGAAACAAACCCAGTAAAACAAAGTGTGCACATAATTACTTACATGCTTTTATGAGCTGGTGCTGCCATCTTTTTAGGTTCCCTGTACTGAAAAGCTACAATCACATAAGGACAGATCTGTCTGGGTCGCTCATTAACAGTGCTGCCTGAAAGTTCATAGAGGTAATACTAAAAGAAAAGAAATGAGCATCATCAGGGTAGCACTATGAAATTCCATATGCACCAAGTTTATCTCAACCCCACCCAGTCCTGAAATTTAACACATTAGATTCGGAAACGTATCTTGGGAATGACATATTCCCAGATGACTATACCTGACTCAGTTCAAAGGCGCGAAAATGACTCGTCTTGTGAGAAACCTTGTTAGTATTTGCAGCCACGTGGCAATCATAGCCAGAAGATGGGCTAGTATAGTTAGCTGTATAATTCTCAGACACAAACTTGACTTTTCCCTAGAATAAAAATATTAAGACTAATCAGATATCTTCAAATAGCAATAATCTTACTCTAGGATTCATTTTTAAAAGTAGCCTAATAAGGATGTGGATGTATTTCAAAGACTAGTTAACTGCGTTAAGAACTATGGTTCTCAGAAAATTATCTTAAGGCCAATATTCACGAACCCCTTAAAATTGTATAGGCATACCTTGGAGATACTGCATGTTTGGTTCTATACCACTGCAGTAAAGCAAATACTGCAACAAAGTGAGTTACATGAATTTTTTGGTTTCGCAGTGCATATAAAAGTTATGTTTACACTATAGTCTATTAAGTGTGCAATAACATTATGTCTAAAAAAACAATTACATACCTTAACTAAAAAATATTTTATTGCTAAAAGATGCTAACCATCATCTCAGCCTTCACCGAGTTGTAATCTTTTTGCTGGGGGAGGGTCTTGCCCCAATGCTGATGGCTGCTGACTGATCAGGGTGGTGGTTGCTGAAGGCTGGAGTGGCTGTGGCAATTTCTTAAAATAAGGCAAAAATAAAGTCTGCTGCAGTGATTGACTCTTCCTTTCATGAATTATTTCTCTGTAGCATGCGATGCTGTTTGACAGCATTACCCACAGCAGAACTTCTTTCAAAACTGGAGTCAATCCTCTCAAACCCTGTCACTGCTTTATCAACTAAGTTTATGTAATATTCTAAATCCTTTGTGGTCATTTCAACAATCTTCACAGCATCTTCACCAGGAGTAGATTCCATCTCAAGAAATAACTTTCTTTGCTCATCCATAAGAAGCAAGTCCTCATTGGTTAAAGTTTTATCATGCGATTGCAGCAATTCAGTCATATCTTCAGGCTCCACTTCTAATTCTAGTTCTCTTGTTATTTCCACCACATCTGCAGTTACTTCCTGCACAGAAATTATGATTCCCTCAAAGCCATCCATGAGGGTTGGAATCAACTTCTTCCAAACTCTTGTTAATGTTGATATTTTGACCTCTTCCCATGAATGTTCTTAATGGCATCTAGAATGATGAATCCCTTCCAGAAGGCTTCCAATTTACTTTACCCAGAACCATCAAAGTAATTACTATCCATGGCAGCTATAGCCTTATGAAATGTACTTCTTAAATAATAAGACTTGAAAGCCAAAATTACTCCTTGATCCATGGGCTGCAGAACGAATGTTGTATTAGCAGGCACGAAAACATTAACCTCGTATACTTCCATCAGAGCTCTTGGGTGACCAGATGCGTTGTCAATAAGCACTAATATTTGGAAAGGAATCTTTTTTCTGAGCAACAGGTCTCAACAGTGGGCTTAAAATATTCAGTAAACCATGTTGTAAACAGATGTACTGTCATCCAGGCTTTGTTGATCCATTTATATAGCACAGGCAGAGTAGATTTAGCATAATTCTTAAGGATCCTAGGATTTTTGGAATGCTAATGAGCACTTGTTTCAACTTGAAGTCACCAGATGCATTAGCCCCTAACAAGAGAGTCAGCCTATCTTGTGAAGCTTTGAAGCCAGGCAGTCACTTCTCTCTAGCTATGAAAGTCCTAGACGGCATCTACTTTCAATAGAAGGCTGTTTCACTACACTGAAAATCTGTTGTTTGGTGTAGCCACCCTCATTACTTATCTCAGCTAGATCTTCTGATAACCTGCTGCAGCTTCTGCATCAGCACTTGCTGCTTCACCTTGTACTTTTATGTTATGGAGATGGTTTCTTTCCCTAAACTTCATGAACCAACCTCTGCTCGTGTCAAACACTTCTTCTGCAGCTTCCTCCCCTCTCTGAGCCTTCACAGAACTGAAGGGAGTTAGGGCCTTGCTCTGGATTAGGCTTTGGCTTAAGAGAATATTGTGGCTAGTTTGATCTTCTATCCAGACCACTAAAACTTTCTCCTATCACCAGTAAGGCTGTTTTACTTTCTTATCATATGTGTGTTCACTGGAGTAAGCACTTTTAATTTCCTTCGAGAACTTTTCTTTTGCATTCACAACTTGGCTAACAGGTGCAAAAAGCCTAGCTTTTGGCCTATCTTGGCTTTCGACATACCTTCCTCACTAAGCTTATCCCTTTTAGCTTTTGATTTAAAGTGAGAGACGTGAGACTCTTCCTATCACTTGAACATTTAGAGGCCATTGCAAAGTTATTAATTGGTCTAATTTCAACACTGTTGTGTCTCAGGGTATAGGGAGGCCTGAGGAAAGGAAAGAGACGGGGAATGGCCAGTTGGTGGAGCAGTCAGAACACACACAACATTTATCGATTAAGTTCACCATCTTATATGGGCACGGTTCGTGCCACCCCAAAACAATTACAATAGTAACATCAAAGATCATGATCACAGATCACCTTAACAAATATAACAATGATGAAAAAGTTGGAAATATTGTTACAATTACCAAAATGTGACACAGAGACAGGAAGTGAGCAAATGCTATTGGAAAAATGGTGCCAATAGATTTGCTCGACACAGGATTGCCAGAAATCTTCAATTTGTGAAAAATACAATACCTGCAAAGAGCAATAAAGTGAAGTACAATAAAATGAGGTATGCCTGTATTTAAAAATCTAGTATGTCTGTGCATCCTCCTGAGGTAAATGTCCACAGTTTTTATCACAATATCAAAAAAGTACAGGAATCACCCCAAATTTAAGAGAACCATTTCTTTAAAAGAAAAATTATATAGCCCACCAGATTGGCTATCAATGACTATAAGATAAAAGATGACAAATGAAATCTAAAGCTTCAAAAGACAAGTTTCCAAACTGAAGTATTAATTATCAGTTGTAAATTACAGACCAAGATACACCTATTATGCCAGGACCCAGTAAATCAGCTAGGAGCAAATATGCAGTAAAGTGCTTAAGCAGGCCACTGGCCCTAATTACTGAACAGTCAATAGTATTTCCCATCATAGATTTCTCTTCATCAAGGGTTACATGTCTCCCAGAAAAAGAAAAAAAAAAAAAATTAAACCACAGTCAAGTTTACCATACAATGAAATATCATACAAGGATTTTAAAAGCTGTTTTGAATATAATGACGAATATGGAAAAAATAAAAATATACCAAATATATTTACCAAAATGAGGTATGAGATTATAGCCAACTTTTATTTTTATCTTTACAAGAATTTAACTACTTTAAAAAAAAAAGATTTCTTTTTGCTGCTAAGTCCTGCCTCTTCATTTATAGGACCACCAAAGGCAATACTAAGAAGTCAAAGAGGGCTGGCCCCGTGGCTTAGCGGTTAAGTACGCGCGCTCCACTACTGGTGGCCAGGGTTCGGATCCCGGGTGTGCACTGACGCACCACTTGACCAGCCACGCTGAGACCACGTCCCACATACAGCAACTAGCAGGATGTGCAACTATGACATACAACTATCTACTGGGGCTTTGGGGAAAAAAAGGAGGAGGACTGGCAATAGATGTTAGCTCAGAGCCGGTCTTCCTCAGCAAAAAGAGGAGGATTGGCATGGATGTTAGCTAGGGCTGATCTTCCTCACAAAAAAAAAAAAAAAGAAGTCAAAGAATATAAAGAGCACTTCTCAGTGAGCAATCACCACCTGTATCTTCTCTTCATCAAACAGCTTATGATGTTGGGTGTGGCTGGCTTTGGAGCAATCAAGTAAGAGGAACTAAAAGCGAAAACTAAACAGCAACATCCACCAGACAGGGTGGGACACGGGGGCAAGAACCCAAGGGTGAAGCACAATCTGACACAAATAAAAAACCGAATCTTTGTTAATTAAGCTGACAGGCACACTTTCTACAGCAGAATTATAGTACAGTCATGTGTCGCTAAACGACGGGGACTGTTCTGAGAAATGCGTTGTAAAGCGATTTTGTCACTGTGCGAACATCGTAGAGTGTACTTACACAAACCGGATGGTACAGCCTACTACTTCCCTAGGCTATATGGTACAGCCTATTGCTCCTAGACTACAAATCTGTACAGCATGATAATGTATGGAATACTGGAGGCAACTGTAACACAATGATAAGTATTTGTGTATCTTAAATATATCTAAACAAAGAAAAGGTACAGTAAAAATATGGTATAAAAGATAAAAAATGGTACACCTGTGTAGGACATTTACCATGAACGGAGCTTGCAGGACTGGAAGTTGCTCTGGGTGAGTCAGTGAGTGAGTGGTGAGTGAATGTGAAGGCCTAGGACATTACTGTACACTACTGTAGACTTTATAAACACTGTACATTTAGGCTACACTAAATTTTTTAAAAACTTTTCTTTTTTTTTCTTTTGTGAGGAAAATCAGCCCTGAGCTAACATCCATGCCAATCCTCCTCTTTTTTTGCCGAGGAAGACTGGCCCTGGGCTAACATCCGTGCCCATCTTCCTCCACTTTATATGGGATGCCGCCAGAGCATGGCCTAACAAGCGGTGCATCGGTGCGCAACTGGGGTTCCGAAGCCAGGCCGCCAGCAGCGGAGCGTGTGCACTTAACTGCTACGCCACTGGGCCAGCCCCTCAAATTTTTCTTTCTTCAATAATTAATCTTAGCTTACTGTAAGTTTCTTACTTTATAAATTTTAATTTTTAAAAAATTTTTCTCTCTTTTGTAGTAACACTTAGCTTAAAACATAAACACACTGTACAGCTGTACAAAAATATTTTCTTTATATCTTCATTCCATTAGTTTTTTTCTATTTTAAAGATTTTTATTTTTTTTTTTACTTTTTAAACTTTTTTGTTAAAAATTAAGACACAAACACACATTAGCCTAGGCCCACACAGGGTCAGGAGCATCAGTGTCACTGTCTACCACCTCCACACCTTGTCCCACTGGAAGGTCTTCAGGGGCAATAACACATGGCGCGGTCATCTCCTACGCTAACACCACCTTCTTCTGGAACACCTCCTGCAGGGCCTCCTGAGGCTCTTCTTGAGGAGGTGTCAGTCTTTTCAGAAATATGTCCATGGTGGTTTGCTTGGTTTGTTTCTCATTTTCGTCATAGATTTGGTTGTAAGCAGATAAGGCACCATGAACATTCCTCTGTATTAATGAAAACCTGTCAGTGTTGGGGTCCATGTTTTCACACTTTTTAAGGAGCTTCTTAAGGTCTGCAAATCTTCTGCTAAACCCTTCACTGAATTTTCTTGGGGATTCTTCTTCATTTTCTTCTCCTGCAGTTTCCTTTTCTCTTGACTCTTCGGCTATGCATTCCTGATGCAGTTCCAAGAACTCTTCATTAGTCAATTCCTCAGGAACCACCTCTAGGAGCTCCTCGATGTCACCTTCACCACACCCAGGTTAAAGTTGTTTACCATCGCAACCACAGCCTTGTTGATTTTTGCAACCTCTTCATCAGTGGAAAATCCTTTGAAGTCATGGACGAACCTCTGGAGTGTCTTCTCCCAGATGCCATTCATACATTCCTTGGCAACATCACCCCAAGCCTAAGCAAGGTTCCTGATGCAGTCATAGATGTGGTAATCTTTCCAGAATTGCATTAGGGTCTTCTCAGTGTCTTCCTCAGGTGCAGCAATAGCCTGGGCAAAGGACCTGCTCAGGCAGCAGGCCTTAAAAGCTGCTGTAACTTCTTGATATTTTGGTTGGATCGAAGAGGTGGTATTTGAAGGGAGAAGCACCACTTTGATGTGGGGATGAAGATCACCAATAAAAGGAGGAGCATTATCAACAATAAGCAAAGTCTTGAAAGGTATGTTATTCTCCAAACAGTACTTCTCCATTTCACTGGCACAGCAATTCAGGAGGGCATCTTGGAAGAGGAGCTGTGTCATCCCTGACTTCTATTGCTCCTGTGGTACACTGGCAGGGTGTGCTTACTGCTATACTTGAAGTATACTGCTATACTTACTGCTATACTGGGGTTCTCACTGTGCCAGATCACAAAGGGTTTCAATTTGTAGCCTGCATCATTGCCCCCAAGCAAAACTGTTATTATGTTCTTAAAAACCTTGAAACTTGGCACTGACTTGGCCTCCTCACGGATGACAGTCCTTTCAGGCATCCTTTTCCAGAACAGGGAAGTTTCACCCATACTGAATATTTGCTCTGGCAAGTAATTTTCCTCCACAATCAGCTTATCTAGAGTTTCCAAAAATTCTTCAGCTGCCTTCACATCACCACTTGCAGACTCACCACTCACTTTCACATTATATAATGAATAATGATTCTTGAATTGTTTAAACTGCACAGTGCTAGCAGTAAATTCAACATCATGCTTCCAGCCTTTTCTTTCAATATCACAAACAAATTCTTCTGCTTTGGCCATGATCATCATGGTATTGAGAGGGATACGCTTCTGCGTCTGGTCTTCAGTCAGGTCATTAGAAGTTTCTCCAAGTCTGATACAGGCCCTTCTTGAATTTTCTGTTAAGTCTCGCTGCCTTCAATAAAGCAGATCCTTTAACAGCTTCCATCATTTTGTTCTTGTTCTTCAAGATCACAGCTGTGGTGGAAAGGGATATGCCTGACTGGGGAGCAACAACCACCACTGATTTTCCACCTTTGTAGTCCTTAATCACTTTTAATTTTGTTTTCATGTCAATCTCTCAATGTGGTCTCTTACTGGCGACACTAGCAGTGGATCTTGTATTCTTAGGGGCCATGATGAACAAAACAACGCGAGGTTAAATTAAGCACGAGCAAATGATGCAATCAACAGACACGGTAAACACAAGATGTACGCGGCTGCTGCTGGCTTACATAACATGGCGTACTGGTTAACTGTCAATTTTTTATAAAATAAGTAGAAAGTACACTCTAAAATAACAATATAAAGTATAGGATAGTAAATACATAAACCAGTAACATAGTCATTTATCATTATCAAGTATTATGTACCATACACAATCGTATATGCTATACTTTTACACAACTGGCAGTGCAGTAGGTTTGTTTACACCAGCATCACTACAAACATGAGTAATATCTTGCGTTATGATGTTACAATGGCTATGATATCACTAGGCGACAGAAATTTTTTGGCTTACCTTACGGGACCACCGTCATATATGCAGTTCATCATATATGAACGACTGAAAATGTCGTTATGTGGCACGTGACTGTACTTATCATGGAGCAGAAGGAAGATAAGAGCGGAAAAGCAGTGATTGTGCACCAATGCAATGCTACTTTCCCTCCAGCTCTCGTGGACAAATTTTGAATATTAAGAGTTCACACTCTTAAAAAAAATCACTAGTGTTGGGTTTATAACCAAAGAGCTTAAGATAGCAAGAAAGCTAACACAAAAAGAAGACTACAGAATATATCCTCAAAAAGCCCACCACCCTCTAAAATCAGGGTTTTCCTACTATTTGAGTGAAAATTCTAATTGTGTGATTCACTTATACTGGACTATTTAAGGGTGCTTAAGAATCCCTGAGATGATCAGTTTTAGGTGCCACATAACGCTGTGAACAAGGTCCGAATGTTAGGGATAAAGAAATAAAGATGTCTTATTTTGACAATTTAAACCAGACAACAAATGTTGCTCTCTAAATTCATTTCTTATAACTGTGATCACACTGTTTTATAAGCAGCTACTTGTTTTCTGTTACTTAATGTTTAAAAAGTGGCTTTGTGGGACATGGGTGAGAGGAAGACTTTTCACTGAATACCTTTGTATTACTTGGAAGTTTTTTTTGTTTTGTTTTTTAAAAATACATTCATAAATCACCTATTCAATGAACAAAAAAGCTTTGTCTTTAAAAGAAAGAAAAAATAGTTATTTTTTCTGAATTTGGATAGCTGTCTTTGGCAAGGACTATGTTTAGCAAATGATCTGCAAAGCACATTATCACAGACTGATTACCTTTAGTTTTTAAAAGAAAAATTACATAGAAGCACATTTGGGCTTTACCTTAATTAGATTAAAAATTACAACATAACCGGACTTCCCATGATACCATGGTCTTGCATGAAGATAGTCCGAATATTTGGAAATGTATACACCTGTAAAAGTATAAAATATAGATTAATTTACACTTTAAAAAGACTATTCACACATATACAATTCACATGCAGGACTACCTTTAACTGAACAAGACAACAAGAAAGACAAAAGTCAACATTAAAAAACTTTTGAAACTGCTTACCTTTTAAAAACTATTCGAGATATTCTAAAGGTATGAAAACATTAGAGCTAAGATGATACAGAATATATCTGACAACTGATTTTCTATGGGTACAATAATTAAAAAGGGATAAAAGTTTCACATTCTTCAAAAATTCTGTTTGTCTATTTTTTCTCCATGCAATCATTGGGTGAAAAGGTCTATGGTAATCTGATTCTCAAGTTATTTTTTGCAAAAAATCTCAGTAAGTACTCTTATTTAATAACATGTACTGAAGTTTACTACATGGCAGGTCTGTGCCAGGCAGCAATGACACAAAGAGAAATAAAACAAGGCCCTTGCCTTCAAGCAGTTTATTCGGTTAGATTATAAATTCCAGAGATTATATTTGTTTTGTTCACCATTGTAGCCACATCATAGCCCAACATATAGTAGGTACTTAAATATTTGTCAGACATATGTTGTACTTGAGGGCACACAGAAATGGAAATAACTAAGTAATTAAATTTGTCTGAGAAAGGAATTCTTTAGACAGAGGAACAAAATTCTTTTTTTTTAAAAATTTTTTGTTTATTGCAGTAACATTGGTTTATAACATTGTATCAATTTCAGGTGTACATCATTATACTTCTATTTCTGCATAGATTACATCATGTTCACCACCCAAATACTAATTACAACCCATCACCACACACATGTGCCTAATTATCCCTTTCACCCTCCTCCCTCCCCCCTTCCCCTCTGGTAACCACCAATCCAATCTCTGTCTCTACGTGTTTGTTTGTTGTTATTATCTACTACTTAATGAGTGATATCATACAGTATTTGACCTTCTTCCTCTGACTTATTTCACTTTGCATAATACCCTCAATGTCCATCCATATTGTCACAAATGGCTGGATTTCATCGTTTCTTATGGCTGAGTAGTATTTCATTGTGTATATATACCACATCTTCTTTAACCATTCGTCCCTGGATGGGCACTTAGGTTGTTTCCAAGTCTTGGCTATTGTGAATAACGCTGCAATGAACACAGGGGTGCATGTATCTTTACACATTGGTGCTTTCAAGTTCTTTGGATAAATACCTAGCAGTGGAATAGCTGGATCATATGGTAGTTCTATCCTTAATTTTTTGAGGAATCTCCATACTGCCTTCCATAGTGGATGCACCAGTTTGCACTCCCACCAGCAGTGTATAAGAGTTCCCTTCTCTCCACATCCTGAGAGAGGAACAAAATTCTAGGTAGAGAAAAGAGTGAACAAAAATACAGAAGCATAAAAGATCATAAACTATTTAGGACAGCAGGCCACAGTGTTGGGAACAGGGGAGAAAATGGTGGAAGCTGAGGCTGAAAAGGAAGCTTCGGACCGAACAGTAATGATCTTTGTAGGACTTACTAATGAGCTTATTTATTAGACTTTACTCTGAAGGCAGTAGAGAACCATCAAAGGTTTTAAGCAGCAGATCAATGCTTACAAGTTAGAGAGGTGAGTCTATAGAGGGGAGAGACTAGAAACAGGATGAACTAGGAAGCTACCATAAGAGTTGAGACAGGAGAGGAGGATCTCCATGCAGCGGCAGAAGTGAGAATAAGGAGGAAAGGACAGATTTCAGAGATATTCCTGAACTGAGGCATCTCTTTTGAAATATAAAAAGACAATGGTGAGAACACTTTGATATAGTGGAAAGAGCAAAGAACTTGTGGTCAGAAGCCTGAGTTTCAGTCCCAAGTTTTCCACTTACTAATAATAATAACTACGTGACTGAGGAGTATGTCACTTAAGTGGGGAGGGTGGGCTTGGCTCACGGATGCATAACCACCGAGTTATCAGGAAGATTTAAAAATATCAATACACTTTTAAAACTATAAAACACTTCATTAATATAAAATATTACTATTATGCACAGAACTATCCATTTCTATTTGAGCCAAAAACCATGTCAAATATACACAGGCAGTAGTGTTATTTCATTACAAACCCCAGTATATGTGTTTAAGAAGGTGTATTTGTTAGGAACAATCCAGCTTCTACTCCACCACTCTACTGAAGCCAGCCTCTCAAACATCAACAATAAACTCATGGGATTGTGGTAAGATAGAAAAATGGCCTTATTTTTTGGAGATATAAACTGAGGTGTTTACTTGTAATTTACTTTCAAATTCTTCAGCAAAAAAAAAATTTTTTTTTAAACAAATGAAGGGAATAATGCAAAACATTATCTGTTAAACCTAGGTGATGGGTATATTATACCCAGCTGTCTACTTTTTCTGTGTTAGCATTTTTCATAATGAAAAGAAGGGGAGGGGGTGAAAAAGAATAGGGGAGAAGGAAAAAAGGTTTTATATAAAGTGTTATTGGAGTTATGAATTTATCCCCTTTCATGTCCTTTATAAGAGTTGAACATAAGTTTTAAAAAATTCTGTTTTATACAGAGTTACCATATGACCCAAGAATTCCACTCCTAGGTATATACCCAAGAGAAATGAAAACACATGTCTATACAAAAGCTTGTACACGAATGTACAAAGCAGCATTTTTCTTTTTTTTTTTTTTTTAAAGATTTTATTTATTTATTTTTATTCCCCCCCAAAGCCCCAGTAGATAGTTGTATGTCACAGCTGCCCATCCTTCTAGTTGATGTATGTGGGACGCGGCCTCAGCATGGCCAGAGAAGCGGTGCGTCGGTGCGCGCCCGGGATCCAAACCCGGGTGGCCAGCAGTGGAGCGCGCACACTTAACCGCTAAGCCACAGGGCCGGCCAAAGCAGCATTTTTCATAACCAAAAAGTAGAAACAACCAAATGTCCATCAACTGCTGAATGAATAAAAAAATGTGGTATAACCATACAATGGAATATTATTCAGCCAAAAAGGGAATGAAATACTGGTACACGCTACAACATGGATGAACCTCAAAAACACTAAGCTAAGTAAAAGAAGTCACAAAAGATCACATATGATTCCACTTATATGAAAGGTCTAGAATAGGCAAATTCATAGAGGCTAAAAGTAGATTAGTGGTTGCCTAGGCTGGTGGTAGTGGGGAATGGGGAGTCACTGCTAATAGGTGTGGGATTTCTTCTTTGGGTGATGAAAATGGTCTAAAATTGATTGTGTTGATGGTTCCATAACTCTGTAAATACACCAAAAAAACACTAAATTGTATACTTTAAATGAGTGAATTGTATGGTACGTGAATTTTCTCTCAATAAAGCTGTTATTAAAAAAAAAAAAAAAGATCAGCAGGAATCTAGCCATGAAGCCCAATAATCTTTCTCAGTCCTGATCTCATCTCCAAATTCCATAGCATCTGACACTGCTAAATACCCCTCCTTAGATCCTTCTGCTTTCTATAAACTCTCCTTCCTGATTGTTCATCCACTGGACAGCTCTTGACTCCTCCTCCTCCTATCGTCTACCCCATCTCCCCACCCATTGGTCTCACAATGATCCAAAAGTTCTGTTCTTTGCCATTTTTTCCTTCTACACTATCCCATGTAACAATATCTTTGGCTTCAACTTACACTCACCCACACTACCCTGAGCCCAAATCTCCAATCCTAATCTCTTTTCCAACTATTTTTACCACCAGCAGGATATCTTCCAGAAACTCATGAAAATCAAAGTAGTAGTATCCATTTACTGAGAGCTTACTAGCCATACCCTCGGGGCTAAGCACTTTACATAGTCTCATGTAATCCTAACAACAAATCTAGAAGATATTTTTATCTATTTTACAGATGTCAAAATTGAAGCTTAAAGAAATTTAGTGCTAATCCACGTTCTTAACTGTAAGACTACCTTTCTCTTTTAACTCATCAGCTTCTCTATAATCTCCTATTCTTCTGTGTCTCTCTTCTATTAATAATATTACTGTAGTGTTAGTTTAAAACCTTATATTTGATTATTTCCTTTCTCTTACTCCTCACATTCCACAGTTGCCAAGTTTGGTCAGTTCTATCTATTCTCTATTCCTATTGCCATTAGGATACTTTAGAAGAGATCCTCATTAGACCTGAAAGATAGTATCAAATCTCTTGATAATAAAAGATACCTTCAATATCTTTTTTAGTCCAACCAACCTTTAAAAAAAAGTTCTGATCATGTAACTCCTATTGGAAAACTTTAAGTCTTAGACTCAAAGCTCATTTACAGGTTTAAAGTTCTGATGCTAAAGATTATTATTTGTTTATCATTAATAAAACTGGCTTTTAATATAGGTGTCTTATGAAATTAACTAAACCCCTCTTCAACTTGTAAAAGAAGAGATTCTTTTTTCTCATAGACTTACCTTTTGCTGGATCACCCAGAGTGGTAAGAGCACTGCTGCCAACACAGAGTCCACGCTGACATACCAACTTTGCCTTTAAATAAAAGATAGTCCTTTGCTTATCATATCAATCTTGGGAGAGGCAATGAAATAATGCTATAATCTATAAGCTCTGAAATAAACACTGAATCTGTACACTGTAGGTATTCATGGTACAAAGCAAGCTTATGTAAGGCAATTGTGTTTTGGTAAAAAGTTCAAAGTTTCTCATGAAATTTTACCATTTCGGTTAACAAAAATGTCACCAGCAAAACTAAATTAAGCTCACAGATAAGTCCTCTCTTGATTTCTTTTTCAATTCTAGCTTTGGAATCACTAAATTTGAAAATGTCTTAACTCTAAATGCCTTTTTTTAGTATGAATCCATAGCATATCTTATTTGGAAGTAGATGATTAAGTAAACAAACTCCTCTGGTATTACTACATAAGTCTTACGTTATATATGCTTATGTTAATTATTCTTTAACCAAATCTACCTTTGTTTTTTAAAAATCATGAACCCAACCAAAATATTACCGTTGAACTATTTTAAGTTGGATTATAGTTCTCCAGTATTGTTGAAATTGTATCTAGGAAGCCATACACATCTTTGGAGACATACCCTGCACACAGTAGTTTCCTTCTCTCACACTTAAGCACAAGTAATAATATGGATGTTCAATCTTCAAAGACAGGCATAAACAATTTCAAGTAACTGGAATGCTGAAAGTGTTCATCTTATCCCCAAAACCATGTAATTTAAACTTGAAAAATCTCCACAAGAAACAGAAAGTATCTATGTAAACAATGGTCCAGAATGGAGAAATACCCATTAAAAGGCATTACTGATAAGAAATCTGCATTAATCCAAATCTTACCATTAGCTTACAAACGTATTTAAAATAAATCTAAAGAGGACCTATGGAAAGTTGTAGAAATCAAATCTCTTTCATGACTAGCTTTCATGTCATTTACATTGCCACCAAACTAAGTAACAAAAAAGACTGACGAACTAACTGGTAATCTTACAGAACTGAAATACCAATATTTAAGTTTAATGATATCATTAATTTCGTACATTAATATCACAAAATTAATTTTCTACCACCTAATTCCCTTACCTGATTTTCAGTTTCAAACAGAAGAAACCCATAAGTTTCTTGAAGTTCTTCCTGAGTATAGTTACTTGCCTTTTTTTCTTGGTAAAAGGTTTTGTACTGTATAAAGAGAGAATAACCAATTGCTATAAACATGTTATTTTGCCTTGCAAATAAATTTTAAAAAGTGCATCATCTGAATTCCTCCTTCTAAAAGACTAATGAAATTTATTATTTTTCTATTCCCTAGAATATATTATTATTACCTTTCAAGTGACTATTTTCAAGGATCTTTTATCTCATCTGAAAAGTGACAGCTAAAAAGATCTAGGCTTATATACCAGAAATGATGGGTCTACTTCTTTAAAACTAAAATAAAACTAACACACAGACACAGTGTGTACCAGGCACCTCACCTCATTTAAGAAAATGTCATTTTTCACCAAAGTCACTTGACTGTACTGAAAACCATGCTCAGATGCAGAGTCCAAGTAAGAAGTATGGAGAATTGAAACTGCCCTCTGGAAGACAGAGTCTGAACTCAAGGACACTGTCTCAAAAACTGTAAAACAAACAAAAATAATGCAACTGTTTAAGATAACCAAAGGATGGGGTTAAAAGTGGCACACTAAATACCTCATCTATTTCCTTCCTATATAACTAAGACATTCACAATGGGTTTTGGCTACCATATCTGTACTATCTTAAAAGACCTCTCAAGTGAGAAAATAATCTAAATGGATTAACTACAATTGAGGGTGAATTACTTTCAATACAACAGTAAACCATACCCTGCCAATCCCTTATGCCTTTTGGTTTAAAGCTGTGCGCGTAACCACAGTCGGTCAAAGCAGAAGCAACTGTAGTGTGAAGTTGGCGGTCAGCAATCACTTAGACCAATGTTTCTCATCTTTAAGACTTTTTAAACCTATGCCACATTTTGATAAACTTACCCTTCCCATCAAATCCCCAAGTAAGTCTGTTAGGTTCCTTTTAAGGGGCCTACTATTGCACACTCAGCAAACATATTAGAAATCATTGCATCTTTGGGGTTTCTTCACCAGCTTAGATGTGTCTATTGAACTTCACCTCTTATGGGTTGTATTATAAAATCATTATTTTTTTTTCATCCTACAAAAATAAACCTTATTACTTTTTTTGAAAGTGCTTTTTTTAAACCACATCCATGTGCTATCCCAGAGATTCTGATATGCCCCTCCCATGAGAGGCATGTTTCCCTAAATGAGAATTACTAACTTGATCCAGTAACTCTCATGATTGAGCCTTTGCACGTTTTGACTTGACAAGGCTTCATTTGAGCAAGAACTGAGCCTAATGAATTCTCATAACATTTAACCATTTGATTTGTTTACTCCCTTCTATTTGTATCCTCTCTATTCTCTTTAACAAGATTGAGGGGGGGAGATAGAAACTGATTATTTATGAATAATAAAGAGAATGGAATAATTTATATAGCACTGGAAGTTTTATCATATAAATATAAATATGTACAAATAAGTATAAGTTCATTAATATGGCTTCCTGCTTTCACCAGAACTCTGCCAATTACTTAAAGTTCAAAAGTTGAAGGAAAAAAAGCACCTTAATTAAAATTAACTTAAGAACAACAGATTAAAAAAAACAACTAGACTATCACAGAAATGAAAACAAACATTTCAGTAAAATTAATTTGGACCAAACTGTCTTAACACTTCAATTATCAATGTAATTTAAAAATGCTTTAATAAATAAATGAAAGATTATAAACAACAAAGAAGGAAAAAAAAGAGGATGAAACATTTAAGAACATTCTGAAGTTGATACACCTGGACCTATATCGATTCTGTTTCACTTTTACTCAGTTCCACTTTCTCCTTCAATATCGGTATACTAGTGCTGTAAAAAATACAGATATTCTAAAGAGATTCAAATCGCAAAACACCAGTAATAATTAAAATTATGGCTTTCTTTAGCTGCATTACTCAAAACACACTGGGAAGCCTGCACCTGCAAACTCATAAATAAGCTGCACTGCTAGCTCAAACACAAATCAAGATTCCTTTAAATATCATAATTTGGGAAACCTCATATTTAATATTTGTAAAAAGGTAATATAATAGTAAAAAAACTAAGTATACTCTGAGGCTCAATATTTGAAAAATATGTTGCTTACAGTGAATGAACTAAAAGTTGTAACAGCTTTGGAAACGAACATTCTATGATTATCAACTTATCTAAATTCTGCAATGTGTTAATAGGTAAGCACAGATTTTAAGTTTCAAAAGTACTGAATACTACACATATCCCCATGTTTGAGTGTCAATGTAAAATAATAAACTGAAAACTGTGAGAAATAGTGCAATTAAAAAGAAATAAAACCTATCGAACACAGTGTTGCCCAATCCGTGTGGTCAGAGAACACTTTATTTACACCAGTGTGGGGAATACTGTTCCCAATAAAGCTATGAATAAAGGTAATGATTTAAAATAAACAAGGAGGAACAAGTAGGAAATGAACTATTTTGTACTTATGTATTTTTATTTCTAAAACTATTTATTTATGGTTAAAAATGCTTCCCCTTTAGGTCAGCTTTCTCCAAATAGCAATTTATTTATAAAAGGAATCATTTTACGAGTAGTAGAAGGAAAAGCATGTCAAAAGCAAAGTTGTTAGAAAACCACAGTAAATCCTGAATCTTTCATGACTTTACAATAAATGACCTCAATTATACTCTCAAGAAAGCACAAGTTTCCTGCTCTATAAAGAAGGAGATAGAGGAGAACTTCACCAAGAAATTATGTGACACTCTCTCTTCTTATACAACGTACTTTAAGAGTCTAACTAATGTACAAAACAATATGAGCACTAAATAAATGGATGGCTTCATTTTTGCTGAGCAATACACATGCTTTATTTAAAAATTCAAGGTTATCTGACTATTAAGAGGGGGCTATTCTACAAAGAAACCTAAGACAACATCTAAGGTAACGTGAAAAGTACCCAACTGTAGAGTGTAGAGTGTCCCTAGGGCTTAAGACAGCACGTGAAGAAAACAAGTTCAATCACAATGCTTCTGGAAACTGAGTTAATATTCTTTCCTGTAGCACCTGGCTTTAGGCACATTTCTCTATTTGTGGATTCAATCTTAAAAGTTTAGTCGAGCTTGACACAAGTTAGATTCTGCACAAGTTGCTCTGCATAAATCTCCCTGTTTCTCAAAATCCATCACACAGATAACTAGTGTCTGGTTTGGGACAGTTCTTTCTCTTTTTAACTTCTAATAAGAAGGATTAGAAAATTATAAAGCAATTTCTGATGCTATGCCACAGGTATCTGTTTTCCATTGTTATAAACATCTGGTCTGAAAGTAAATAATGAGATGCACTAATGCCAACAACTTAGATCTCACAACAATTCTCACAAAAACTAGCCACTTCTACATCTCCACAGGACTTGCACAACTACATCTCCTGTTTGTGCATTAAGCAATAACACTCATCAAAGACAGAAACACTCAGAACCCAACATCTGCCATGAAAGACCCTTATTAGTACTCCCTATAGATGGATTACAACCTACAGTTAATACGATCCATGCCTATATACTTGATGTAGTCTAAGCAGGCCATTTGATAGTTGTTGAAAGAAGAGACCATTCCTCAATCTAATCCTTATAACGCATCACCTTTTAAGAAATTAAAGGACTGCCAGTTTAAGATAAATACAACTTTTTTAGAGCACAATTTGGCAGGACCTAACGAAAACTTAAATGCACATAAGGAAATAACCATTCCATTTCTGGGAATCTATTTCTCAGAAATAGTAGTATAAGTCCACAGGATATATGTACAAGGGTGTTCCATGTACCAGCATCTATAACAGCAAAAACACTGGAGATGACCTAAATTGACATCAACAGGGAAACACCTTGCAACTATTAAACAAAAACAAAGTAAATTTGTATATACTGGCATATAAAGATATCTATTATATACTATTAAGCAAATAACATGCATTATATAATGTCATTTTGGTAAAAAATTGTGTGTTTCAAAGTGTACAGAAAAAGATCTAGAAAAATGGGAAACCAAATTGTTAACAGTGTTTAAACTAATGGTTATTGAGATTGGGAAGTGGATAAAAGGGGAACTTATACTTTTTACCTTAGATATATTACTACAATTTAGGTTTTTCTTACATAAGCATGTATTACTTCTACTATTTAAAATATCCCAATTCAAAATCCAGTAAAATGAATCGTAATTTCAAAGAAATACAAATAGGGGGACAATCTCCCTTGAACATATACCTTTTCTGATCTAATTTGAAACTTAATCACCTAACAATTTTGTCAATGATTATAAGAAATTTGTAGCTACTGGAAATTATATATATTTTTAAAAGTCCTTTCATTTTACATCCTCTAAATTAAAATTTTAAAAATTGTACTGTTCTACTTTGGATTATTTAGTAATAATTTATAGCATTTAGTTTAATACCCACTGTTTTCTGATATGAACCCTGTCTTGGTCTTCTCTAAGAGAGACTGTAGCTGGGAGGGTGGTCTTAATTCATTTTCACCAAGTATACCCCCAGAATTCTTGACATAGTCCTGTTCTCTGTTAATGTCAAAAATGCTAAAATGAAAAAAGAAAAAATTAAATCATAAAGTGAATAGTTCTATTTATGGCATATCTACTATATAAACAAACCCAAATGTTTACCCAGCATCTAATTTGCATTAGGTACAACTCTGTAATGTATATTTACCTCCTTTAACAAGTCTCCAGAGCTATCGGCTAAACTTGCTCTATAAACAGTAACACACATAAAATGAAATGTTTTCCCTCAAATATTCTTTAAGTTCTAAAGAAAATTTTGTTCATAGAAATAAATTATGTTTATAGGAATCACTTTTGCCTCACTGGAAAAAAATTTTTCAAAATGAAGAGTCAAGATTACAGACCTATATCCACATTCTACTGGTTGGAAATAAAATCAAATAGAACGCAATTAAATAAAATCTCTCCCTACTCCCAAATTAGTAGTATATGATTCATCCATTCATTAAACAAAACTATTAGTGGTGACTATTATGTATCCAGTACTATGCCATAGCCTGGGTTTATCAGGACAAATGCAAAACAGTCTCTACAATGAAAGCACTTAGACTAGAAAAGGAAGACAAATCTGGAAAGAAATCAGTACTATAAATGTGTAGGAGAATCTAGAACATGATATAGTAGGTGCATAATGGTACAACCAACCAACTTCATTGAGATGGGATATGTCAAGATAGCTTTCATAGAAACACTGATATTTGAAATCTGAGTAGGTATTCAAACAATAAGGAAGCCACAAAAGGGCACTAGTGTGTACGTTTTCTAGGCAACAGAAACAGCAGGAACTAATGCAGAGGTAAAAATACCATACATGTAAGGAACTGCAAGTAGTTTATTATTTGAGGAATTCAACATACTTTAGAAAAAAATAGCACATATAGTTTTATAATAGTACACCTTTTCTCAAAAAGGATTGGAGGCAGAATTGTGTGGATACATTCAAGATTCTTTTTTGTGTGTGTGTGAGGAAGATCAGCCCTGAGCTAACATCCATGCCAATCCTCCTATTTTTGTTGAGGAAGACTGGCCCTGAGCTAACATCTACTGCCAATTCTCCCCCCCCCCCCGCTTTTCTCCCCAAAGACTCAGGGAAATCAGGAGACTGGGATTCTAGTGCAGATCTACCAATAATTTGTTCTGAGACCTTAACGTGATGATGATGTTGACTGCCTTCCCAATAATCATGCCCCTTTTTCCTTCCTCTCCCAGACCACAATTTTATTCAGGTATTGGGTGATCCCACGCTTCAGGAGAGGCTTGGGAGTGGGGGGGGGGGTGTGAATCTTAATTATTTTAAGCTCATTATGGTAATCCTACTCTCTTTGGTTACTGATTGCTTTAGGAATAAACATGTGACTCAATTCCGGCCAATGAGATTTGAATGGTCATCTACAGAGAGAATTCTGGGAAAGTTTTCTTACAACAGGACAGGAGACAAAAGATGCACTCTCCCTGCCTCCATCTTCTCCTAGCCTTAGGGCCTTGTCTGAAGCTGTGTTTGTGGCCTGGAACCCCTAAAACCCAGATGGGATTGATCAGCCAACACACTGAGGATGGAACAAAACAAACAGAAAGAATCTAGATCCCTGATGAAGTCCTTGAACTGTTGAATGAATTAACCTGGAGCTGCCCTGCCACTGGATTTTCTGTTCCGTGAAGTAATAAATGTTCCTGATTGTTTAAACCACTTTTATTGGCAGCTGAAAGCATACTAACAAGGATTTTGTTAAACTATTTATTCTAAGGCCTCATTTAGTTATAATATCTAAGGCTCCTTTTGGTTCTAACACTGTGACTCTACAAACTGACTTACTAAAGGCCTGTTATGTACAAGGCATTGTGCACTGCACTAGATTATTTATCAAATTCCTTTTTTATCTGTTGCCATGTGTGGAGACATTTATCCTAGTAAGTATTTATTAGCACAGAAGCACAAAAGTTACATATATAAGGTAGATAAAAATAGCTTTAAAAAGTTAAAATATAAGACATTTAAAGCCTTTGACTGCTTGATTCCCACCTACTCAATAAATCTTATCTCCCTCCCAGGCACAAGGGCAAAATACTTTTGACTCAGATCAATCTTCATGTAATTTCCCTCATTAGTTACATATATATATCCAATTTTTACACCCTTCCCCCACCTCATGTCTAAGTTTCCCTCATATTTAAAGCCTAGCCCAAGATCTAGCTTCTCTAATGTCTTAGGATTTTTCCAGCTCACATTTATCATTCTTCACCAGTGTTCCACAGATATTTATCATAGTCCTGTTATATATATAGCTCTGCACTGGAGCTGGGGATTACAAGAGAAAACCGAAGACCAGGTGCCTACCTAAAAGAGTAGTCTTTAACATTTAGGTCATAATTTCAGAATTATGTGTGAAACAACTGTGTTCAAGACAATCTCCTCTTCAGACTGAAGGGAGTGAGTGGAACAAGTGATGAAGAGCATGGACTTTGGAATCAAAAGATCTTGGCAAGACAAGATTTTGAACCCAGGTCTTTCTAGCTTTGTGACTCTTGGAAAGCTACTTAATTTTCCCTCCTCTTGTTTTTAAAAATAAATTTCAACAAAGAATATACACTAAATAAAAAGCCAAATACCACTAGGCTTATCAGTTGCTGCCCCCTTGTTCCCAGGGAGCCCTTATTTCCATTCCTCTTAGGCGACCATTTTCAACTTTAGCTGTATCTTCTGGTATAACTCCACGTTTCTAAATAAAACACCCATATAAACCTTAGACAATCCTTTACTGAAAAACACCTGCCTTCCACACACAGATATAAAAATACCCCACACTTCCCCTTCCCATCCTTTCATAGTTATGTCACTATTTTTGTTTTATCAGTATTCAATGTTTCATCAAATTGTATGCATTAATCATGGCTGATCCACACGGGGTAGTCAATTTCCTTTCTTACACCATGTTTTGTTTTTCTGAATTTCAAATTGCCTCTGCTTAATTTGCAGTTACTAATCATTATTTCAGCCTAAAATTCTCCTAGAGAACTAAAAATCCCCTCTGAATAGATAGATACACCAAGTGTTTTTGGAGACATCCTTTATGGAGCACTATGTGGTCCAGTTTCAGTCTGGACTTAGGCTAATACTACTGCCTAGCTTTGCGACCTTGCTGGGGGATGTTGAGATACAATATTGATCTACTGATGATCAACACAATTCCAGTTTGCAGAAACTGATGACCTGATTCTAAAACTTATATAGGAATTCAAAGGATTTAGAACAGCCAAAACAATTTTGGAAAAGAAGAACAAAGTTGAAGGACATACCACCTTATTTCAAGAATTACTACAAAGCTAAAGTAGTCAAAACTATGTGTTGACGCAAAGATAATGCATTCAGATTAATGGAACAGCATAGAGAGTTCAGATACTGATTTTCAGCAACACTGTCAACATAATTCATTAGGGAAAGAACATGTTTACAACAAATGGTGCCATAACAACCAAAATGGAAAAAACCATGAACCTCAACCCCTACCTCAAACCATAAAATTCAACTGAAATGAATCACAGACACAAACATAAAGCTAAAACTATAATGCTTCTAGAGAAAGATCATAGAAAAAATATCTTCTTGACCATGGGACATGTAACAATTTCTTAGGGCACAAAAATCAGCTACTATAAAAGAAAAACTGACACATTGGACTTCATGAAAATTAAAACCTTCTGATCTTCAAAAGACATCATCAAGAAATTGAGGGGATGGCCCAGTGGTGTGGCAGTTAAGTTCTCGCGCTCTGCTTCAGTGGCCCAGGGTTCGCCGGTTCGGATCCTGGGCGCAAACCTATGCACCGCTCACCGAGCCATGCTGAGGTGGTGACCCACAGGGAAGAACCAGAACAACGTACAACTAGGATATACAACTACGTACTGGGGCTTTGGGGAGAAAAAAGGGAAAAAAGAGGAAGACTGGCAACAGATGTTAGCTCAGCGCCAATCTTCCTCAAAAAAAAAGGGGGAGAAATTGAAAATATTTGCAAAGGACTTGTATCCAGAATATATAAAGAACTTAGACACACTTACAAAAGACATACTAATAGCAAGTATGTACACAGGAAAATCATCAACATTATTAGTCATCAGGGAAGTGCTAATTAAAACCACAAATACTACTCACCCACTAGAATGGCTAAAATTAAAAAGACAGAAAATACTAAGTGCTGACAAGGATGAGGAACAATTGAAACTGGCATATAATCCTGGTAGGAATATAAAGCTATATAGCCAATTGGGAAAATAGTTTTGTCAGTTTTTCATAAAGTTAAATATATACTCACTATATCATCCAGCAATTCTATTCCAAGATATTTACCCAAGAGAAATGAAACATTTGTCCACAAAAAGACTTGTACATGAATGTTCAGGGCAGCATTATTCGCAGTAGACTAAAACTGAAAACAACCTAAATGTTCATCAACAGGTGAATGGATAAACAAACTATGGTATATTCATACAATATACTACTACACAGCAATAAAAAAGAAAAACTGCTGATACAGGCATGAATCTCAAAAACAAACTGGGCAAAAGAAGTCAAAAGAGTAGGATTCCATATATATGAAGTTCTAGAATTGGCAAAACTAATCTATAGTGATAAAAATCTTATCACTGGTTGCTTGGGGGAGGGAGTAGGAATAGGAAAATTGCAAGTGAGGTAGGTACAAGGGAACTTTCTGGGGTGATAGAAATATCGTGTATTTTTATTGGTGTGGTGGTTACAGGGTGCATACATCTACCAAAATTAATTGAACTATATAGTTAAAATGTGTGCAGTACTAAATACTGATATTGTACAGAATACAATCTCTGACCAAAATCCAGTAAAATTACCAAGTGACCATACAAAGTTAACCTCAAGAGCCCCACGTTTGGAAATAAAAAAACCCAACCTTACTTACAAATGATTCATAAGTTAAAGAATATATTATAATAAAATTTAAAAGGGTTTGAGCTGAATAGCAATGAAAACACCATCTATCTAAACT